AAAAAATAATGGGAAATAAATACTAGAATTACCAGCCTTTAAAATTGCTAGAATTTCTAGTATTTTTTACAGATCTTTTTAAATGCAAGTCATTGTGATTTTTGAAAAGCCCAACATTGTTGGAAAGATATTTTTGAACACAGCCGTTTTTTCTTTATCCTCTCTCCATTCCAATTAGTAGTTTGTTTTTCTCCGAATATTTCTCTTCTTTTCCATTTATCTCTGTCTTCCCTTGTCTGCTTTTCTTCTCCTAAATTCTCCATTATCCCTTTCCTCTTTTGCGAAAATTTCGTAGCAGTTTTTCCATTTAAACATCGGCTGCCTTTTGCGAAATTCGTGTTACATTTGCAACAGTTCGGGGGGAAGGAAAAGGGGTTTTGGGCCAGAAGAAGACGTACTACCAGCTTTCCATCTCCTAGCGCCCAACTTTATCCCTTTTCTGTCACCTCTTCCCACACACATTCACATACATACATGCACTCGATGCACTTGATGATGATGTTGCTCCGGTCCCCTACCCGCCACTCAGTTTTCGGGGTTTGGACTGCCCGGACTGATGATGACCACAAGCACCGCACACTTGACAGGGGGTAGCTCCACCCCTAAATACCCTTTCTCCCCCTCTCTCCGCCTTTCTGCCGTTCGAACAATGTGCCAAGTGCGTGCAAAGTTTTTCCACATCGGGGAAACTTTCATCAGACGCCGGGTCCCAGGACTAGAAAACGGTCTCATATGGTGGCCTGTCCGAAGAAAACGTCTCGAACTGAGATTCAGTTAAACCCCCCTTTGGCCAGAGTCGCCACCAAGAATATTATAGAGAGGGGATGGCGATAAGCCCAATATTTTCCTGTTTCCAATATTTATAGTCCTTATTTTTAAAATTGTTATATACCAAGGAATGGTTTTAACTTTAATACCAGATTTCTGGTATATACTTTTAAATTTTTTAAGAGCTGGTACTTATGGTCTTTTTTGTAGAATTCCTTAAGGGCTGGTATTTTTTGTTAGTACTATATATTTTTCAATATTATCAACGCTTTCCAATCGTTAACCATTAAAAAAAAAACTCCCGCCGCTACTGTATCGAAATTCCCACGAAATTGCTGCTGCAAGAGAGAAGCTGATCAAAATTATTTGAAGCTTTTGCAATTTTTGTAATTAAGCGAACAAAGCCAAACATTTGCTCAGGCATTTTCCCCATTGTCTAGGCGGTGGATCATCGGATTTTGGGGTGCTTTCTGGGCGGTGGGTGGCTAGTTTTTGGGCGTTTTTGGGCTGCTCTCGAGTGTGGAATCTGCTGCAAGTGGCAGCTGAAAGTGCCAGTTTTATTGTTGTTACTGTTGCCTCTAACTGCTGCAGTTGCTGCTGCTGCTGTAAAGTTGCTGGACAACTGAAAAACTGCAGCATGCAAATCGAAAAATAATTACAATTGCGCAAAGTTTTAAAACGAACAGAGCACAGACAACTGAGGCTGCAGCCAAAGAGGGGTTATTTTTTGGGAGGGACGGTTTAGGGGAGGAGGATGATGAAAAGTGCCTGATTTCTTTCCGCTTCCTGGTCGAGTTAGTGGGCGTGGCAGATCGGGCGGAGGCGAGGGGAAAGTGCAATGTCAGTGCGAATTGAAGATAAACTAAACCACATGTAAAAAAGGCCACTGGGTGATGGTGAAACACTACCAGGAAATTTCTGTATTGCAGAAAATTTTCTAAGCTAAATAAAAAATCTAAAAAAAAATAAATTTAAAATATTTCATATTTTTTAAATTAATGTTATAGTTTTTTAAGAATATTGGTATACATTTAATTTATATTTTGAAACTTCACGCCAGCACTAAAAATGGAAATTTCCTGAAAATTCTCAACTATAGAAAGTCTTTCAAACTATAATTCTTAAATATTCGATATTTCTTAAAAATATTTATATTTTAACACTTCATCTATATATAACTCCCGATTAGCACTAATAATATTTATTGAGGCTCTCGGCTTTTCTACGTGCTCTTAGTGTAATTGCCTCACATCCCTTCTATTTGAAGCAAATGTACTTAATTTTATTTTCCCAGTGGAAATGTGAAAAAGCGGTGTGTGTGCTTTGACAGAACATTTAGATGGCTTCAGCTGGAGAATAGGAGTACGAATGCGGCTCTCAAAATGCATTAGACACACATTTGCCAGGCAGGGAGGAGCATTGCCATTCTACATTTCCAGCATCCCAACACACGGAGACACTTACGAATGCCAAACGATAATGCGTTTGTCTCTGCCCTCCAGAATTTCCCCATACCACCAAAACCTTCGGCTCTTCCATCCTGGCCGGAAAACTTTGAAAACTCATTCAGTGTCATGTAGATTTTTCGTATTTTTGCGTTTGCTCCGACAAAAAATAATTGTTGGCTAACTTTTTGCCAAGCTCATAAAACTGTGCCCCCTCCTGTGAACCTCCTTTTTGAACCCTCCCATCCTCCCATCCTTATACCATTTTCCATTTTCCTGGGGGCAGGCAGTTATCCTGGGTTGGTGGCATTTTAAAACTATTGTTCATTTCAAGCATCAAGAAACTTGCCAAATTGTTGTTGAAGCGCTGTCGAAACTTTTTAATTTTGACGCCTTGGCAGGTGGCGTTTGGACTGCCACGCCCCTTTTTTCTAGCGTGGTCTAGTCAGCGTTTTGGAATTAAAAATCGAATTAAATCTTCCTTTTCTCTTTTTAATTATTTAATATTTTTCTGTTATATATTTGTATTATGTATATTTGATTCCCTTATTCTTCTCTTAAAAAAAATATGAAAAGTAGATAGAAAAATAATATTTTTCTGTTCCATATATTTCTATAATGAAAAATATTTAAAAATAATTAATATATTTCATTAATCTACATTTCATGTTTGTTTCCCCCCAAAAAAATTATTATAAAATTAAATTAAAAATAATTCCCCAAAAGATTGAGAAAAAACCCAGCCCGTCGATTGGCACAAAAGTAAAAGTTAACTATCAGTTAATATTGGCGACATCGATACCACTGGACAGCCGGGCACTAATCTTATTTGAAATTCCATTTCGTGCTTAACGGACATTGCTCATCCGCCCCATTAACAAGGGGGAGGGGCCAGGCCTTTGATTCAATTAACTTTGTTTATCGCGCATAATGCATGGATTATCAATATCAATTGACATCAATTTCGGTCACTGTGGAAACGGAAACCAAATGGCATTAACAGCCAAAGGAGGCCGACGACGAAAATGTTTGGACAGCACAGCATTTTGTGACAAGTTTCCTCTTTCAGCTTTTTTGCCTTTTTGCCGCCGCGGCGGCATTGGCGGCATTTCAATTAAATCCTCCCCGTCTAATTGAATTGAACGAAAATTGAATTGAACGTGTGGGTATTGGTATTGGTGAGTGTTAAAGCTGACCCTGTGACCCATTAAATCCCACCACCCACTCAAACCACTCAAAATATAAGCGAAAGTATTTTTAATTTTAGCTTGAGTTGGGGATAAAGTTGATTGGGGATGACAGAGCAGAAGGGAAAAAGGTGGCAGCCATTTTTATAAGGCTTAATTGCCAGCACACACACACATAGAATATGGAGTGCACACACACCCACACACGGATAATTAAAAAGTTTGCCGCTGTAAAATGGAAAAATCTTTGCATATTCTCATCTTCAATATCCTGCGTTCACCGTCCTTCCATACTTTTCCCATTCCTGAAGATAACCCAGAAAATTCGCTGGAGCCTTGGAGAACTTGCCACAATTTACGCAATATTATATGGCTGATGTTGTTGTTGTTCATCACAATTCTTGCACTTTCGGTTTGCCTACAATCTGGGGAACATTACTTGGGAATTTTGGGATCAGAATTAAGTAAAATAAATTAAGGAATTAAAAGCAATACAAATACTACAACTAGTCGTAAAGCTTAAATAAAAATCATCAAGAATTATATTAAAACTATTCTTTAGGTTGCTGTATCTAAGGATGAAATAAAAAATCATTAAGATAGGATATCTCAAAAAACTTGTAAAAACATTAAAAACAAATAAAATTTCAAATAACTTTTTTAAAAAATCTTGAAAGAAAGAAAGGAAAAGATCTTAGAACTCTAAATAAAATAACAATTTTTTTGGTTGGAGGATCTTTAATCCTAAGAAAGGATAACTCAGCGTCGATCACCTGAGGCTGAAGCAGAAAAAACAGTCGAAATGTCGGCTCTCACATTTATGTTGTGCTTTTTATTGCCGCCCCCAAATGCTGAAGACGGCGACGTCAAAGAAAAGCGAGGAGCAGAAGTCATTTCGCCAGGGTTCACATAATCAAAGCAGCCCGTCTCCCTCTCTTTCGCACCCCGCTCAGCCCGTCTCCTTCGCTCCTTAGCCCATTTGCTAAGATGCGAAGCAGCCAGCGTCGGCAGAATGTAATTTGTTATATGGTTTTGTAACCGTTAGTTTTCATGTTTCATCCCATCCCAAACTGAAAACCGGGTGGGATAAATATTCCTCAGATGGAGATGCACTCACACAGATACAGATACAGATACACACCCACACAACAAGGAGTGCATTATGTGCTGGATAAATTTATGCAACACTCGTCATGCCTTATTATTGTTAAAGATTCCTGCTGCTGCAGTTGCTCTGATGCTGATGGCATTCCTCGAATAAGTTTTAATTAAAATTAAAATCAAAATCTGTCGGCATCTTCAGCTTGACTAATTTGCATTTGCATCTACAGACAGTTGGCACCTTGGCATTCCTGTTATATTATGGGCATTATAACACCTATCCTGTAGGATCCTGGAGGAGAAGCCCTCTTGTTTTATTGCCTCTGCATTCAACTGCGCTTCTTAATCAACTAATTAACATGACTGTGTTTGCAAAGCTTTAAAATTTTAGCCAATAATTACTGGTTTGGCTTTATAAGTTTGCATCTGTGAATTATTTACGAATTTCTGTTTAAGGACCTTAAAGCTTAATTAACTGTTCGAATTATTTGTATTCGAATTACATTTTGAATAGGGACCTAAGACTTTAATACAATTTTATAATCTGTTTGACATGTATTACGTTGCTCCAATTGAATTGGCACTCAATTTGAAATTTACTCCTGGGCGGAATCTTTATAACACAGCAAGGATTCAACATCCCAACTTCTGCTCTTGATCGCATAATAGGTTGGCTGGGCGAGCTATCTGTATTCCCAGCCTCATCGATTATATATAAATTCTCGAGCTACTGGGGTTAATCCACATCCATTTCACTGGGAATTTCTTCGGATCTTGGACGTGAACTGTAACCAGAGGTGGAAGAGGATTCAGGCTCCTCTTCGCTTTCCCAGGATTCTTCTAAATATTCTACCTCGTCTGGATCTTCTGGAACCTCAACCAATTCGTGGCGGCGTATCCAATCCATATGGAAACTAGCCTTAGCCCTACGATTCCACCGTCCTAGCAGAACCCCCGAATCCATAACACTCGGAATCATATTGCCCATGGCTCCGGCTCTTTGAAAATGAATCCGTCTTCGCACCAGCGGCCAGTCTCTTTGGATTATAATCCTCCTACATCCCTGTATCGTCCGTCGTATCAAGTAATGCTCGGTTTTGATATAGGAGTGAACCACTCCTTTGGGCAGTCTAGATAATACATTTTGATTGGCTCGCCTGTTGCCTATTCCATGAGCCTTTTTTTTTAATGATTGCGTTTCATTGAGCTTACAAGAATTCAGTACCAATATTTAGTACTCACATGTTGGGGCATCTTGACCGAATTGGGCCGAATTTTGACCATTTTTATCGAAATCGAAAATCTTCGTTGACTAAAAAAAACACGACAAAAAAATATTCTAGGTAATACTGTGTGGTGTGTGGTGTTTTCAGTTGAGTTTGTATAGTTGTACTGATTATTTACAAGCCCTGAAACCCCACGTCCCCTGACATATGGCCAAAAAGGTTACTTTGATTGGGAAAAATAACTAGATTTATGGGACTTTATTTTTATGAGAGAGGATATTTGTATTAAATACGTAAACTGCCGTCAACAGCGATTACGTAATGTGGGATTTTCAATTTAATATTTTCTCTTGGATAACTACAGTTTTAAACTTTTTTTTCAATTAAAAATAATTTTTTGAAATCTAGTCCAAATTGCTCAATGGAATAATTAATAAATGTAATTAAAATTCATTTCTTTACTGCTTTCTCTTGACGTTGATGCTAAAAATTCCTCGAATAGTTCTTAATTCAAATGAATATCGGAGTGTTGCTCAAACTGTCTCGTTTCCGCCTTCAATTGTTGTTAACTAATTTGCATCCTGGCATCCTGAGATGGTCTGCACTTTGGCATTCTCGATGGGCATTGCAACACCTTTGCAGGATGCTAAGGACGATAAGGACCGGGCACTTCATCCTTCATCCTTCACCCTTTGCACCCTCTTTGCATTCACGTTCCGGAGTTTTTGGCCGAGGCATTTTATTGCCTTCATATTTCCATGTCCTGATCCTAGACGCTGTCATAAATTGCACAAGCCTTGCACAAATGAACCGTGCACAGGACGAAACGGACGAAGGACGACAAGCGAAGGACGAAGGAGGACCAAGATAGATACACACCGATGGGCATACATAATTTGAATAACTCACAAAAATGCACATTTATCGCATAATGCTCTCGTACATCCTGCCAGCCGGCCTCCTGGCCAGGACACACGCAGGACCTTCCTCCCCCTTTTATATCCCTTTCTATTTTCATGCTTCTGCGAACCTCAGGGCTTTAACTCTGCCTGCCCGACTTTTGACTTTTTGCAAAAAGGCATAAAAATAAATGAATTAAAAACTAATTATTTAATGAAATTCTCAATTACCTATGGTTCAAAATTAAAATAAATTTAAATAAGCGTTGTGAAGATATGAGGGAATTTTCCTATCTATTTAATTTTCTATTTGTTTAAATTATTTGTATAAATTGTTATTCAATAAAAATAAATTTGGAAGAAAGTTGTAGAACGAGTTTAACTAATTTTCCCATTTATTTGATTTTATATTTATTTGATTTTATACCCCTTAGTAAATTATTAATAATATGTTATCTTAGCTAAACCAAACTACTGGCTTCATTTTCTTCGAACTAATAATCAAGTCGCTGCCAAATGCAAAAGTGTGGTAAATTTCAGTAAATCAAGCTAAATAAAATTAATTAAAATGCGGTCGACACTTGTAATTTGCAGAAAACGTGGTAAAAACTGCGGTCAAACCGCATATTATGAGTAACTGCATTAAGAAGAACCCGCAAGTCAAATCTCTGAACATGTGCCAGATACAAATACCATATATTATATATTCGGGACTATCAAGTGCCGAATGCCAGGCGCAGACTTTGTCCAAAGACGTGACCATAATTTGGAGGTCTTCGAGAGAATCCCTGTCTTCGTCGTTTGGTCAAGCAGTTGGCCTGGTTTGTTGGACAGTGATGAAGAAAATAACAGGGTAGGTGAAGTTATGAATACCTCCTATCCTTGCCAATAATAAATATATTTTCTAGTAATTAAAAAAAATTAAAATAATTATTTTTCCCAAATGTATTTATTTGGGGTCTAATTTGATTCCACACATTTGCAGATTTTGTAAAGTAATATAAAAGAAAATTTTAAATTGGAAAATTCATTAAAAAGTTATTGGCAAATAATGGAATGCAATGCAAGCCGTTTACTGCTTGCTTGCTGTACAGACTATAACATGTAGGTACCTTGTACCTTTGGCTAATCCAAATATATAGTACCTTTCCCAGCACAGCTGCTTGCGATTCGGCTGTCAGTCGCAGCTCTCTGTCCACTGCTACTTGGAATGTCCGGCTTTCCTTTGGCTTTCCCAGCTTTTCCAGCTTTCCCAGCCAGCTCCTTGTGGTCGTCTTGCCTCCTTCCTTTCAGCCTGGTTTATACCCCACAACACAGAACTCATGACAAAATCATTACAACCATTTCGTGTAGTTATCGTTCCATACAAACTATATGTACATACATGCAGGCATACTCTATATCTAACCTCCTCCTTTTTTCATCGTGATGTTGCTCTAGGAAATGGCAAAAGCTGTAAAAAATTTGCATTTTTATAACAACTTAAGTCACCAGACGACTTTACTTTTCCAAGCACTTGAACTGGTTTGCTTCCTATACAAAGTTTTGCATGCGTGTCACCCCCACTCAACTCCCACTTCCTCACCCCTGCCCCTGCCACGCCCCCTACTCCATATCAGCATATCTAAACTATAAGCACGGAAAAAAAAATATAGTAAAATCTTAAATAAATATTATACAGATAAATAGGAAATAAAAGAAGTACGAATTTTTAGAAGATAAATTTTATAAAATACATTTTTAAAAAATCATTCTTGTTAAGAAATCCTAAAACTTGGTTTGAATTTCTTATGACTTTTTCTCTGTGCAGTCGTGTGCATTTATAAAAGCAGTTATATTTATGAACTAGAAAGAGAAAACGATGTTCCCAAAAACGAAAGCAGAACCAAAAAAAAAATGGTGTCCATTTTGCAATTTGCCGCCGGCGCGGTGAGCACAAGGCAAAATGGTTAAAAGACTCTTTTTGTGGGATGGGGTGGAGTGGCTTAAAGGGGGCGTAACGGGGCTGAAAAGAGGGAGGGCGTGGCAGTGGATAAGTGAGGACATATGTATGGAATAGCACCGAAAAAGAAAATAAAACAGCAACGGAAATTCACTTCGTAGAGCATTTCCTTGGAAGGAAATTATGAAATCCCAAGCGCTAATTGGAAGCACTTGCTTTCGACGAAAGGCTACTTAAATTACGAAAATAGTAAAGAGAAAAAATAGATATATTTTAGGAAGTAGCTTTTAAATGTCAAAAAAAGGTGTCCAAAAGTATGCAACAATATATTTTTAGCTTAAGAGACATATTTACTCATACAATTAATAATTCTCTACATACTTTTAGTCAACTTTTTTGAAATTTAAAATAATTTCGATGTTTTATATTCATATTTATGGTAAAATCGAGAAATTGCGAACTTAAAGTTTCAACGGTAATTCGTATGACCTGCGCACCCACTAAATTGCCATTTTGGCGCCATAAAGTGATTTGCTGTAGGAATTACGTATGCAGAAAATGACCAACATGTTGCTCCCAGCTCTCAGCCATAAAAAATTGGCATACGAATAAGGAGCGGAGCGGAGGAGCAGGATGTGGATATAGAAATTGCAGCATGCATACTAAAATGCATTTTTCTGAGATGCACTGCGAATATTTTATTTCGATTTCTAACAAAACTATAATATTATATTTTTAATAAATATATTCTTTAAAGAAATCTCGTTAAAAATGTCCACACTATTCGATGGAAAAATATAGCAAAGTATTTAGACCTTAAGGAACCTCAAGAACCGGACTTTATACATATTTTTTACATATGCATGCGAGTGCTGCAGTCCCGGCTGGACAAACTCGATATGCATCGTGGAACGGAAAGGAACCCGGCGTCTCGGTGAATTATTTAAATAAATGCTGGATGCTGGGACAAAGATCAAGAGCCCGTTTTTTATCATCGCTGTCTAACTCATCTGCATCGCCAGGACCTTTTCCCCATTCCATCTGCTTGTTAGTGGTGCTTCAGCTCAACGACGGTAATTTGTGAAGACAGGAACGCAGAGATGGGACCGGGCCAAAAACTAACATGTGGAGCGACTAGCAAAGTGTTAGTTCTCGTCTAAAGCCTCGCTTGAGAAATACCCTCTAATGGAACTAGATTTCTGAACAGGGTTCTTAAATAATATTTCATAGTCTGGTAAGAACTAAAAATATGTACATTTACTGATAGAATATTTTTCAACTATTTAAAGTTTTTATTAACTAACATTGTATTAATATTTTTCACCATGATCCAAATATTTCCAAATTAATTTATGCAATTAAATATGTTAACTATAACATCTTCTTATTTAATTTAAATATGTAATAGAATTCAATATTTAAATTTATTTAAAATCTTTAAATTTATTTAATACTTTATATTTAATTTTTGGACTTAGCCCTTAAACCCTTAAATTTGAAAATTGAAAATTGTATGCCAAACTTACCCTTTCCACAGAAATAACTTGCATTTCTGCACTCGCATCGCAGTCAGTGTCCAGAAATGAAGACGTCGGAAGTTGTCCCAGGGGAAATGGAAGAGGGGGCTGTTCTGGGTCCGAGAACTTATCGCATACAATGCGCATTAGCCGTGTCTACATGAGTCCCCATCAAGTTATCTCCATCCTGTGTCCCCGGGACGGCTGTTGCATATTTCAAGGGCTTTTGCGGATTTCTCTCGGTTTGTCATCCCTTTTTTGAAGACGCTTGAATCCGTTTTGCTGGCTGCGAAGTGGGCGAACCTTAAAAATTAAAAGTTTTAGAATTTGTTGTATTTTGTAAATCTAATCAGTCGAATCGGAAGGCATCGAAAATCGCGACGAGAACAAGCAGGTTGCCACGAGCGAATCGGGTTACCTTCAGTACCTGAGGTTCTGGGAATGGCCGAGGATGAGATGGCTCGGGATGACACCACGGGAACAAGTCGATTTTGCCGTGGTAAGTAATCGGCTGTTCTTAAATCGTATTTATTTAATTACGCTTTTTCTCATAGGATCCAGAACTGACGAGTCGTATAGAGAAGGGAATGGAACCCAAGAATCCGCTTGCGGAGGCCCAGTAATTCCCCTGGCATGAAGGTTCAACCGAGGAATACCCTTCCAGGACCAGAATGGCCCAATTTTGTTTTATTGTCGATCAAACATTTACCTCGTTTTGTGTAAATGGTAAATAAAGGCAGAAGATCTTCAGAACTGATGGGAAATCTGTCAAAAACAAATAAAAAGAAACGTTTTAAACCTTAATAAACATTTAAATTAAGCTCTTTTGGCGGTTTTAAAATTTTTAGCAGTGTCAACAACCTGTTTAGCGAATACAAGCACCTCACCATCGATGGTAAAGAAGTTTTCTTAACTATCAAGGTAAATTTTTATAGGGGGATTCCCTAAACTGTTGAATTGCTGAATTGTTGAAAATTCAACAAAAAATTTCAGCAATTAAGGGAACGACCCAAAATGGTTCCTGTTGAATTTTCAAACAGCTGTTATTTGTTGAAAAATTTCACGAAACTTAAAGCACGTAAAATTTGATTTATTATTGCTAGTGACTGTCTAAAAGTGTTACCGAGGTAAAAAGAACCACAAATATGCTTTCTAAGTTCATTTTAAAATAAATAATGCGTACTGGTGATACTAAAATGTTACAGAGTTGCCACGACTTTTAAAAAAAGGTGACAACTCTGGCTTTTCAGCAATTCAACAAAATTTTCATCAGCCCCGAGGCTGTTGAATTGCTGAAATTTCTGAAAGTTGACTTTGTATGGAACAGCTGATTAACAGCTGGCCAAAATTCAACAATTCAGCAATTCAACAGTTTAGGGAATCCCCCTTATATTTTTATAAAATTTTCTGTAAAATTTATATACTACAGTAAATTTGTTTTTTTTTAAAACTAAATTCGCTTAATACTTCAATAAGTGAACCCCTAGATTTTTGAAATAAACAAATTTTTTAATTTAGGGAAAAACCGGATTTTTTAGGGGAAAATCGACGCTGGGATTATTTAGGCCAAAAACCCAACCGCCCATCTGGCCACACTGCCAAACTCTAGTTTTCTAGATTTTTTTTTGCAAACAAAATGGCCAAGTCCCTGTAATCCGCACTCCAGACACCAGAAGAGTGCCCTTAAAATGTCCTCGCAGGCAGGATCAAGTGGCTCGGGAGGCGGTGGAATCGGCGGAAACTCCGAGGAGACGCGACGCATCTGGGTGGGCAACCTGGACTCCCGCATCACCGAGTAAGTTGTGGCCGAAAAAACGCACTCTATCCATAAAATTCAAACTAATAGTTCCTTTTGCATTGCCCCCTATCGGTTTCAACTCCTCAAACTGATGCAAAAATGCGGCGCCATCGAGAAGTTCGACATGCTGTTCCACAAGGGCGGTCCCATGGTGGGGCAATCCCGAGGCTACGCCTTCGTCACCTTCGCGCAGGTGGGTACGCTGCATTTTGTGGTGCAGACGGTGCATTATCCGTTTTCTTATAAATAGAATAGAATTTCGTTACTTCTATGTACCATTTAAGGGTACTTTTTAACTTAAGAACCTCTTTCAAGGAACATTTTCTCATTTCTATATTATATTTCTGTAGTTTTTGGTAAGAGACATCGAAAAAAGGGGATATATAGAAACTAGGGATATGAATTCCCACATAAATTGTTTATAACAACTAAGTACATACCTATTACCCATTTTCATCTCAGATTTGCGTATTTTTATGTATTCCATAAGTTGTATTATTTATGTTATTTAAACACTTGATATACCCCACATATTTCCACATAGAAACCTAGTAAATAAACTTATGTGGGTACTGAAAGGACCCTTTTATAAAAAGATATTTTTTCAGTAATAAGAAAAGTAATAGATAACTAAACCTGTGAAGACCATGATTTTGTCTATAATCTAGTATCTTTAACACTGCGAAGCTAACAGGAGAATTTACCTGAAAAATCTATAAATATTTTCCTTTCAGAACGAAGGAGCCACCAATGCCTTGCTGAAACTGGACGGAACCAGCGTGGGAAACCGCTCGATAGCCGTGCGCCTGGCCAAGAACATCAAATATGTAAGCGAAGCCGGGACTTCCCATCCTTCTAACTTTACTAAACAGAAAACCTCCCTTTTCAGGACGACCTGCAGAAGCCCAAGCCGCGTCTGGAGATACCCGCCTTGGGGACGGGGAAGCGCGAGGAGAAGATCAGCAAGACGGAGGCCATTCGCGCCATCGAGGCCAAGCTGAAGCTGCTGGAGCGGCAGACCGACGACAATCTCGAGCTGAATACGGCGGGTGTGGGCGGTGGCAGGGGCGAGGCCAACGTGCCCTTCATCCAGCGCTACCAGTTCAACAAGGACCGCGACGGAACGCAGCGCTACGGCAAGTCCTCGGCCCCATATCATCGACAGCAGCGGCCCAAGCGGCGCTAGATCCTCCGACTCCTCTCAGCCACCGTCTCACCCTCATCACGTAGTGTGTAAAATCCTTAGTACTTAGGGCGCTACCTCAGCAGACGAGCCTTGCGGCAGGCGTAGTAGTTTACAATTAATTTATTAAAAAAACAATCAGCCAGAATCCGAACTATTTGGGTGCGAACTTGACCTTGCCGCGCATGTGATCGGGCAGCGGAACGGTTCCCGGACAGGCCACCTGGCCGGGGATCTCGCAGATGCAGTGGCGGCCGCATCCGTAGCCAAAGTTGGCCGGGTTGTCCTTGCTCTCCTTGAGCCGCGCCTCCGCGTCCAGTGTCTCGCTGGGAATGGAAAAGTTGTTTACTGCCCGAAGCGTATTTTTTAAGCTGGATGAAAGCCCGTAATTTGTATGCAGATGAAATGTAAAAGTCACTTTTTCGTTTAATCCCTGAGCTGCCTATTGGAACCATAACCAAGTGTAGAATACACATCCAAACGCCTGCTTCACATTATCCAATATTGTTCATCCACAAGTAGCCTGACTAATAGTATACAAACTTCATTTCGACTGCCATATTTTGTACTTAATAATAAGAAATTAATAGCCAAGGACTGGTTGAAAAATAAAGCCTGAATTAATTCGATTGGTCTGACAATATCATGGGGTTCAAGGAGTTGAAGGTGTATTCAATCACTGGACAGCACTCTATACTACTTTGTACTAAGCAAATAGCAGTAGAATGTATGGATTTTTCCAAAATAAAAATATAATAAATAATATCATAGGGTTTCAGGGAGTTCTTCTTAGAAAGGTATTACAAAAACTGCATTTCTCTAAAGAAAGATTAATAATAAAGCCCAGTTTTTGAGAAAATATGTTTGGAACAAGGAAGGGGTTATCCTGATCTTGAGAAATTCATATTGATAATACACAATTTAGAAGTATTTGGAGCCGTATAAAGGCTACTTTAGGTAAAAATATGTTTAGAATTACAAGTTCTTGAAGAACTAGGAGATTGAAAACTCTTTTAGGAACAAATGAAGATTCTGTTCCCATCCTGAGACAGCTGGATTATATTTTCTGATAGTATAGGCTAGTTTATGTGAAAATTTGTTATGAATTCCAAGTTCCGGCGAAAAGAAAAGGATTGTAGGAAAAAATTAAGAAGTTTCCTAGCAAAAGATTTATAATAAACCCATGTATATGTGAAAAAAAGTAATGAATTTCAAGTTCCGGGAAAAAGAAAAAGATTGTTGAAAAAAAAATAAAGGAAAGAAAGTCTTATCCCGATCTTTTAAAAGAAAGAATAATAATAAACCCAAGATTATGTGAAAATATGTTATGAATTCCAAGTTCCACAGAAAAAAAAGGGTTGTAGGAAAAAAGAGAAGGAAAGAAGGTGTTATCCCGATCTCTTGAAGAAGTTTCCCCACAAAAGTTTTATAATAAACCCAAGTTTAAGCGAAAATATGTTATGAATTCCCAGTTCTCAAAGAACGAAGGGAAATTAAACCCTTGGGGAAGAAAAGAACACCTGCTTACCGGGTCTTGCCCACCACCTGGACCAAATGCTCGATGATCTCGTCCCGGTTTCGACCGTCCACATCGATGAGCATGTCCCGTCCATCTTCAAAGTAGCAGCGCACAAAGGGCGAGGGCGTCATGTTCTTCAGCGTGAGCACCTGCACCTCGGGGTTCTTGAACTGGATCTGCGGTATGTTCCAGAACACAAAGTCCCTGCGGGGCATCATAGATCATATAACCTTATTAGATCCTATAGTTTATGCTTTATAACGCAAATTATAGAAATAATACCTGGCTCCCGCGTGATGATCGCCGTATGTGTTGTAATTGACGCTGAAGATGCGCACCTTGTCCTTGAGCACCAGCTTGCCCGCATTCAGGTACTTCAGGGTGCGCCGGATGGGCTCGCGGCCCTTCATGAACGGCATTTTGCGGTTTTAATTCAGGTAAATCACGTAAAAATAATGTAAATTCAACTAAAATGCGGCTGCTTGTGTAATGCCGAACAGCTGATTGGCCAGTGGTGGTAAACGCCGTGAACCGATGACGGAACTATCGATAAGCTATCGTTAGCGTTTTGCGGTGTTGCCACTAGTTTTTAATAGTAAATAGTTCTAAATATTAAAAAAATAGTTTGTAATAATAATATTAATAGGAAATATGCTAATTATTTTTAAAAATAATGGCACCTGTGCACACTCCGATTGATTTTCCGAAATACCCAATACCGATAGTTCCATCTCAACGGCAATCGACCAGCCAATTTGTTTACATTTTAAAATTATTAACTACCCATAATTTACTGGAACTCCAGAGATATGGAAATAACCCTGGCCCTCATAAAGCCGCACGTGCTGCGGAACACCTATGCGATGCAACAGATCCGGGCGCTGATCTCCCAGAACTTCACAATTCTCGACCAGAAGGAGGTTTGCATTACGAAAGAACTCTCGGAGCGATTCTACGCGGAGCACCAGGGAAAATTCTTCTACCACCGCCTCACCAGCTTTATGAACAGGTTGGCATATCATATCATATCATATCATATAATATTATACCATATATCATATAATATCATATTATATGTATATCATATCCTATAATATTATATCATAATATTATCATAACATATCATTTCATCGATGAGGTTATATATTATTAAAAAATAATAATGATAGTAAAAATAATAATAAAACATACCCATATCTTCCCCAGTGGACCCTGCTACGCTCTGATTCTTCAGTCGGAGGCCTGCATCCAGAAGTGGCGCAGTCTTCTGGGACCCACCAAGGTGTTTCGGGCCGTCTATAGCGATCCCAACTGCATTCGAGCCCTGTACGGCCTGTCCGATACTCGTAATGCCTGCCATGGATCCGACAGCGAAGCATCTGCCCTCCGGGAAATCGGGATCCTGTTTCCGGAGTTCGACGCCGCCGAAAGGCTGAAAAGGCAAGAAAAAGGACAGACGTAGCCTATATGACACCATCTTGGGATTAGTTCTACAGCATTTCTATAATAAGCAGTTAAATGTCAAAAATTATAGAGCAGTTTCATAGAAAATGCCTATAAGGTTGTTATATAATTTATTATTGTTATAGCATTGTTGTCTTTAATAATAATAATACATAAAATAAATATAGATTATAAAATATTAAGATCACAAAAACACTGAGAAACAGTTGTGTTTCAAAAACTTTATTTCGTCAATTTCTGGTTTACATAATACAATTGTTTTGTTTGTTTAGGTGGTAGGTACATGTATAGATAGAGATTTTCGATTTGTTCTGGTTACCGTTTTTAGCTCATTGTAAATATTTGGTAATAAAAATTATAAAATTTATAAACTTAACAAATTATATAAATATATATTTTCATGTGTGTGTTTAAGTTCTGTAGTTTTCCCTATAAATAGGTAAAGATATAAATTTATTTGTATATCGGTTTCAGACAATTGAGAACATGAGAGCATAGCAAAAAAAAGGAAATATATTATTAAAAAAAAATTTTAAATTCTTGTATGTGGGTGCGAGCGAGACGGCACCTGCATTTGCTGTCTTTTTCTAACTCGTGTTATAACCGAAATCAAATTTAAATGGTAAAAAAAAAGGCATAGTAATAGTAATTTTAATAGAAGTTAACCGTCTCTCTAAGTCTAATTCTAGCTTTGGTTGCAACGATTTGTCAAAGCAGACAGAGGTCGCAAAAAAAATGTATTTAACAAGTATCCATAGTGGTATTTATATTTAGGTTTGCTTTTCTCTTTTTTCATCCTTTTTTCTATTTTTTTGTTTGAATTTTTCTCAGTGTTTGTTTTCTGTTTACCCTACTTTGGTATCAATTACAAATCTTTAATGCCTATTTGCAGTCCTACGAATTTCACACCGCCAGGTGGCGCTTTTGTCGCACAAAGTTCGAAACATTCAGTTGGTATTCAGTTTGTATTAAGCTTTTCGTCCTTTTTGGGTTTCCTTCATTATCCCCGCTCCATCACACACATATAGTATATAAATATTGCTATTCCAGCCGATCTCTAGATCGTTAAACTCGTATATTATGTGGGTATAACGTATAACGCCAACGGAAAATCCAAATGAGAAATGAAACAAGGTTAAGCGAGTGTCGTCTTAGGTGGGTAGTGTACGGATATTGGTGGTTTTCAGCGATTCCTGGCGGCACTGTACACAAATCCCAAAACCCCTTCCTAAACACCTTACTTTTCCAACCGCTTGGCAAATATATTTTCTTTCGACTGTTCAAGTGTGTGTGTGTTTGTGTTTTTCTTCTGTTTTTTCAGTTTTTCAGTTGTTTCTGTCATTTGTCTTGGATCTTTAACTAATAGAACACAAAAATATATGTATATATAGATCTGTTTCGTTTGTATAAACTATGCAACTTGGCCTACGCGCGCTACACAATAAGATACACAAATGTCTATGTATCCACACTAAATATCCGTATATTCATATATAATCTTGAATATAACCAGCTCATAGCATAAAAAGACTATTTCAAATAGTTTTCTGTTTCTGTTTCTCTAGCACTACTTTGTCAACGACAACGTCAGTATATCAATATAGGTTGCTCTTAACGTTCCACTCTTAAACATCGTCTAACTTCCCATCCTTGTAGCTTGTCTGCTTCACTCCTCATATATCCTCGTTTGTATAGTAATTAAGTGAATGTATTTGCTTCTCTCCTTCTCTCTTCCGAGATTGGTGACCCCAATACCCGTAACTTGAGCACTTTTCGGGGGATTCTTCACTCGAACATGGCCATCGAAGAGGTGGGCACCACCTCCAACAGCAGCTGGAAGAATAGCGTCACCTTGTCTGCGGGGAGAAGAATCGGAACTTAGAAGAAAGAAACTAGGAGTTTAGATAAGAGAAACCACATTTTAAAGAATTGGCAGCAAAAAAATAAAATCCTGAAGAATTCGCGTTGTATATTTCAGGTATTGGATAAACATTTAATTAAAAAAAAAATAAAAATCCTGAAGAATTCGCGTTTCATATTCTTCTTTTCTTATGTGGTTTCTCTAATTATAACTCTACAGCCACTTACTCATGAACCTCGGCGTCATCCCGAGCTTGACGAACGGCACGTAGAAGATCAGGCCCGCGAAGATGAAGAGCAGGGCGTAGAGGTACTCAACGCGCGGGGTCTCGAAAATGGGTGCCGCCACGAGATACACGGAGATGACCAAGACCACAACGGGAATGATGATCGGCACCTTGTAGGGCCGCGGATGGTTGGGCTTGGTGTAGCGCATCACGATCAGGGCCAGCATCGCTCCGCCGTAGAATATCCAGGCGGTGAAGCTGAAGAAATCAATCAGCGAATCAATCGTGCCATGCAGCACCATTGCAGAGGCAATCAGCGACTGGAGACGGGGATAAATGCGCACAGAGAAAGATACAGAGAAAGAGGGGAGAGTTTAGAACGAGGATATCGGATCGGTTTGGATCACATTCACATTCACATGGGTTATCGAACAGATGATGGGGACTATTACTAATTAGTAGGAATAGTGGGAGATGAAATGTCATGGGGATGGTTATAGATATATTTCTAACACATATTAATTTCAAGGAAGGGCGAATTTTTGGAGGTAGTACTAGACACTCACGTGGAATATCAGCCCCGGAGCAGGTGTTAGACGGCGCACATGGACATATGAGAGAATGTCCAGCAGGTGACCCTCTCGACTGGCCGCAAAGCACAGGCTGGAATGATAATTAATGATAGATTTATTTAATAATAATAATATTTATTTAATAATAAAAAAAATGTGTAAAAATCCTTAAGAATTCGCGTTTCGTATTCTAGGTATTATCACTTTCTTTAAAAGATTTAGTTTTAAAGAATAAAAATCCTGAAGAATTCGCTTTGTAAATTCTAGGTATTAGCACTTTCATTAAAAGATTTAGTTTAAAAGAATAAAAATCCTAAAGAATTCGCGATTTATATTCTAGATAATCTAGGAGTTCCTTACCGGCCAGCTGCGAAGAGCGTGCCATTGGCGCTGCCAAAGGTGCTGATGGTGACGCTGAGGGGCATCAGCCAGGCCAAAGCCCCCAGGATGCGGTTGCCGAAGGTGACGGCCACCGCCTCCGACTCGATCATCTCCTGCGGCGACATGGCCGCCAGGTAGGAGATGTTGATCAGCGCATAGCAGAGCGTCACCAGCGGTATGCCGATGATGATCGAGCGCGGCAGGTTCTTGCTCGGGTTCTTGATCTCCTCCGTTACGTAGTTCAGGTTGTTCCAGCCATCGTAGGCCCACAGGCCCGTGTAGAAGGCCGTGGCGATGGCCCCGACATTCGGCATCGGGCCGTTAAATGCATTCGACAGGTGCTGCGTGTTGCCCTGCATCAGTTTCCAGGCTCCGCCGCAGATCACGACCACCACGGCCACCAGTTTGGCGGCGGTGAACACGTTCTGGACGGCCATGCCCAGGTTGACGCTGTAGCAGTTCACGAACAGGATCATCACTGTACCGAAAGGAAACCGAAAGTGATTAGTATAATTTAGAAAAGATATGGCGGAGGGATCAATACAGGAATTTATTATTTATATTCTTAATATATAAAACGGTTGTGCAAATTTATGGGAAATCAAAGGAAAGTCCAGATTTAGTAAAGCTGAAGCATCTAAATTTTTACCGAAAATTCTAAGAGTAGTGTATTTGTTATCTAAAATATATGCCCAATATATGCCAGACAGAATTCGATATCATTTTGATAAAATTATATGAACAACTTGATCTTTAAAAAATGTAAAATTGACCAGCACATATCAATCTGATCTTTTGTCAATTTTTTTTCGGTGACTATTATTATGGTTTTCAGTTCCTGTATTGATCCTTAACAAAAATCCTTACCAATTGCCACCAGGGCGACCATCTTGACCACGCCCCTGGGCGGATCGCATTCCGTCACAAAGGCCTCAACGGCGTACTGTGCAAATGATAAGCATATTATAGCCATTTGAGATGGCTTCAACACCAAAGTCGATACCCATGAGAACAGAAACGCCGGCGCCGGTCCATAGGCGTCCATAAAGTAGGCCCATTCCGCCCCCGACGACGTGTTCATCGTGCCAAGTTCAGCGTATGCCAGAGCGCCTGAAAAGTGGAGGAGGTTTGTGATATAAAATATGATGTAAGATATGGTCTATAAGGAACAATTTGAGATGATTTCTAGATTTAAGATCTGTGATTTGTAGTTCTGGCTTTTAAAATTCATAAAAACATCTTAAAATTCATAGTAAAAAATATTTGAAATAATTGCCTTGCTAGAAATCGATTTATTTCTCCAAGTGTATAGTGCACCTCATTGCGAGGTGTGAGATTCCGCGAAAGTTTGGCCCTCTGCCAGCCGTGCAACAAGTTGTGATGAGTGCAGGGTCGGATTTTGGCATTTGGCGGCGATAAGTGGGTCACTTGCACGTGGTTCCCAATTTTTTCGGGGGTTACTTTATACTAGGGGTTGGGGTTAAGTAGCAGTTAACTTACCCAGCAGGGAGAGCACACCACAGGCAAGCCAGATTATAAAGCTAACTCCAACGGAACCAGTGCGAACCAGTAAACCGGAGGGTGACACAAAAATTCCAGACCCTGTGGATGAGAAGGAAAAGAATGGAGGAGATTATATAGATATATACGATATAGATATATGTATTACACGGCACAGCTGCGGTTGGAAAAACAGCTGATTAGATCCCGCATTGTTTTCCCTACTTTTTCCCATTCAATCGCGTATGCTAATGAGGTGGAGTATATTTATATATACATATATACACGTACGATTTTGGGGGTGTTGCAGACGTCATCAGTGGGCGGACGGCGAAAGTTCGCGCGAAAGCTCCGGGACCACGCGGCGAATGCGCAATACCGGTAAATGATAAAATAGTGGTATTTTTGCAGAGAATTTCTGGGGGCGTGCAACAATTTGGTGGCGTGCCACAAATGGCGCCATTGCCTAAGGTCAAAGTGCAGCAGCGATACTACTTGGGCGCTATTCGTGTCATAAATATGTAGGCAATTTAATTTAGACCCTATGTAGTATACAATTGTGGCTAAGTTGGTAGGGATAGGAAAAGGACGAAAGGATATTTGTGTGGTTAAGTAACTAACAATTTACTTTATACATTTTATTAATATTACTGATTTAATCTGGAATTTCTGTAAAATACATCTATCAAATTACTTTTTAAATATTATTATTATATGGAATGGAATTTTCATAAAATACATACATTTAATATTTTACTATTTTATTATTATAATTATATATAATGAACCTATCAAAGTAACGAATATTTAAAAAAAAAGAAGGAACTTTAAGAGATCCCTTAAAGCTGAACTTCATTATTTTCAGAATACCTTAAGAGTATGCTGAGATTACACTGATTTACCAGAATAACTACGGCTTTAATTGTAACCACACCTTCCTCTTCCTTTTTTCCCTTTCCGCCCTCTAAAAATATGCCCGGAAAGTGCCCTTAATCCACGCAATCCCCCCTACCTTCATTCTCACGCCGATTGCGTATCTATATATCTATACTCCCCGACACCCACAGACATACAGACAAACAGACAGACAGACAGAGGCTAAAGCTGTTTGTATATATGTACTATGCCGTCCGTACATATAGCTAAATTTATGCGTACGTATTTTTGGCCATGCGCGCCTCCAATCTTAACCAAAAAAAAAGGAAAAGCGAATGAAAAAATGTGCCTCAATATTTTTCAGCGACTCAAGCGAACAAACAACAGCAGATTCATTTGACACAATCCAAGGAAAATTGAGTGTTCGTGTTTTTTGGGGCCATTTTGCATACTTCACTTTCCTTTCCCCATGTTTTATGCATTTGTTTCGGCAAGTGGCATCCCAGAATTCATTTTACACTCACCTATCATCGTTCCAACAATTAAAGCCACCCCACTGAAGAGGCCCAGCCTGAAAAAGAAGAAAAAAAGGGTTAAATATCATGGAAAAAAGGATTTAAGCTCCCTGAGTTTATATTTATTTTATGTTATCAATGTATTTGTTTTTATATTTTAGCAAATAAAGAAATAAATAAAAAAACATTCATATTCAGTCAAAATTTAAAATTAAATGGATCATAAACATGATAATAAGGACACTCGATTTAAAGGAAGTCTACATTATAACCAACGACATGATTTCATCATTTAGATATTTTTAGAAAAGTCCAAAGTTAATAAATATTGGTAGATAGATGTCAAAAGTAGATCCGTGAACTTGTTAATTTTAAGTGAGTTGAGTAAATCGTTTTATTGACAGCGATGTGTTAAAATCAAATCAAGTGGATAGCGCGTTTTAAACCAAGTAAATAGAAAATGGTTACGTCTACACTGAAAACATATACTTTAAATAGCTGTCGTTTCTGTTTTGTTTAATTACCTTTAAATATACCTTAATTTTTCAAAGTTCTAGCCATTTTTGTTAAAATAAAATTGGCAATTGATAACTAAATAACAACAAAGAAATATAATCTAATTCTGCTTTAATCCATCTACTACAGGAACAGATAAATATATTTCATAGTGTGGAAGAAGGAATTTGACTGCTAAGCTCTAGTTAAGTTAAGTACTAGACAATTTAATTTTGAAAATATATAAAATAAACATATTTTCGTTTGATTGTTTTGTAGTGCTTCGAAATATACTTGTCAAATAAACCGGCCTACGATCTATGCATATAAGATTTTGGATACCATCCTTACCTTCTCTCGAGGTGAACAACGTGGTTCTGCGTTGAGCCATTCCTCTCCAGCGGCTTCCGCATCCTCCCGGTCCCTGATGCGTCGGTCTCTGGCGCTTCGGGCCCTTCTGTCCCAAGAGACCCATTGGCGCACATGGTCCCGTTGGTCGTTGCTTTTGTTGGCACATTATGTCCTGGAGGATCGCGAAATATCGGATCGGGATCGGGATCACAAAAAGAGAGAAAGCAGAGAACACATGGATTAGCAACAGAAAAAAAAGATGTATTATTTTATTTCTTAACAATCTAAACAACCGAAACGACCACTATAACGCATACACAGAAAAAAAATTCTATATGATGTCAAATTTATGATTAAAACATATCAATTAGATATTTTATCATATCAGTTATTTCATAAAAATTATAAAAATACTATTTAAAAGTAACAAAATATATTTGTTATCTTTTTTTTTCTGTGTATATCAAGACCGCACATTTTTATTTCCCGTGTAGACAGAGTTTATGAATGGACACTCGCACACACACTCGCACACACACCTCTGTTATTATCTGTTGAATTATTTTTGCATGCGTTCTTTTGCAAGCAAAATAGTTGTGATATTTTATCGCGCATGGCATGGACGGATAACAAGTTGCTAAAATTATTTCGCCGCGAATTTCAGCTCTCAGCGAATACGAAATATATACTTATATACTTATAGGTATATGTATATGCGAATAGAATAGAAGAAATGTTTTCGAAAAACCAGAGAGCGGGCCAACTGAAAATGTAGCGCAGTGGGCGGCGATTCGCAGGCAACTGTTCGCATCCCAAATGGCGGCGGCGTCAAATAGTCCGCCCGGCGAAAGCTTTCCGAAAGCCGACGAAAGCCGAGCGCCGGAAAAACAGCCGACGAAGGCCGACAAGAGAATAACCACTTTCTCCAAACGAGATTGGGTTCGAGATGTTGGGTTACAGCACATTTCAACGAGGATAATAATAATATACCATGGGGAAGGGCTACTTTGAAGTAACTGGTTCCGAAAGGCAGGACATAATATCATAGTTACCGGAGTAACAATAATGAAGAGTAATAAATTACCATTTATCGCAGTATTTAATATATTATGTTATTATTATAATATCTTATTTTTATATTTAATATTTATTTTTTAATACCTTACATTTTTGTATATTATTTAGTTTCTATTTTAGGCTAGCTATTTTTATATATTTAAAATAAAAGAAATAACATAAGTGATTAAGTTTTTTTAACGATAATAAATCATAATAAAAAAAAAAAAATTAATTGAACGGTTTAGGCTACAATTGATATTACAATTAATATTTTTTATGTTTTTCAATAACTAAAATGGTTATTTAATATTATTTGATAACTAGTTGTTTTTATAAATTTAAAACGAATAAAATGACATTAATGATTTAGTTTAATAGAAGATAAGAATCATTATCACATCGAATTCAAGCGAAATGACAATTTAATATTTTTTCTTTTGACTTATAAACGTGTATACCGGTACAAATGCTCTCTAGATTTCTTCGGAACTTCGGTTGGCTTTCTCTTTCTCTATTTCGCTCTGCTTCTCAGACTACGTGACACACTGCGTACGTATAAAAGTCCTCCTCCTTCCGACTGATTTATGCAATATATATATTTTGATTATAGAATTGTCAAGGTGAAGGCATTCTCACTCTCTCAATCTGATCGGCTATTTATAGCTTTGCATAAAAATTTCAAATTGAATTAGTCGGCTAATTCCCCGGCGGCGTCGGCGGAAGGTTCGGTTCTTGGTTCTCACTTGGATCTGCAGTCTAGTCGGTGGCATCGTCGCCTCCATTCATCGGCTTCTCTCAATTAATTGTGGGTTGCGCATTTCATTTGCCTCAATTGGCCGCTTATTAATGGTCATGTGCCACACTTTCCTATCTAGAATATCGCACTCCCTGACATCCTAACATCCCATCATCCCAAGTCTGCCTGCCTACGTCACTGGATCTCGGCGCCCACGAGGCATCGAAATTTCATCAGCCCACCGAGCGCATGTACATAACAATCCATATGAGCCATGTACATTCATGGTTCCAAAGTTCTCTCTTCTCACTACTGGACTTGCCCCCAAAAATCGTATATGTACCAAGATAGTGTGTTGAACAAATAGATATCTGCACGAGCATAAATATAATACGTATCCAAAGATTTGGATACACACGCCGTAGCGCCTACGTATGCACTCGCACAGCTGGGTGAAAGAAACTAGTGCAACACTGCGTATGCGTGATGTTGAAAATTAAATATTAAGTATACGCAAGTGGAAAATTTTTTTGTAGAATTTAGCTTTATTTCTCATATCAAATTCATATTTGATATATTTATATATATTTATTTAAAATTGAATTCATTTATATCAAATTCATATTTTTTCAAAATGGAGTCCTCCTTCAATCAATTTAAAGCCCTATTAAACTGACCGCTAGTGTGAGTTTAAAAATAAATAATACACGTCTATACACAGACTCTTTTTATATATATGTGGGCACAGAAAACATAAATAAACGATTCCTACGTTAAGCTCGCTGTCGTTTTTCAGCTTCGTTTCAGCTTCTTCTTGCTCAGCTTTTTTTCTCAATGTATTTTCTGTCATAAAAGTCACGCGGCCTGTGAGAATTTTGTCGATTTATTTTTTTCTTCTGCTTTGTTGATCACTTGTCGAAGGGGGCGTGGCAGGCGGCGGCTGATGGGCGAGTCGGATATATTATTTGACGATATATTTGCATTTGCAAGTCAACAAGTGATCGAATGCCTACTGCACATTTTTTTAAGGGTGGGGAAGAAGTAAACAAGTGATTGAGACGTTCGGTAAATTGATCACTTTGGTTTATTCATGCATTCGAGAGTGGAGAATCGTATTGGCAGTGTTTCCATCATATAAATATTTGGATAGATTTTCTTTAAAACCATCAATGACAATTATCAGGAATAAATTTCAATTAACTTGCAATTATTTCAGTATTTTTTTAAATTTAATAATATTCATAATAAACAGTCTGTGAGACAGTGTTACCCTAATAATTATGTTTTCGATACCATTTCATTAATTTTAATTTCAACCAGCCGCTGACGTCACAAACTAATGGTCAATTAAAACGAAACACGAGCCAGACTAAAAATCCCCCCTTTGCGCTTCCCAAAAACAGTGGGGTGAGTTCCTTGTGCAGTTTTATGAAATCTGATTGCGGATCGTCTTGTCGTCAGCAACTCGACGCCCCAGACATGAAGCGCCACATAAACTGAATGGTTGCAATTGAATTCGCACAGTTATGACTCGGAAATTGGAATCAAAGGCTGAATTTAAAGTTTTTTAATAGTTTACATAAGTTTTCATAATTTGTATATTTAAAAATAATAATAAGCATAAGTAAAACGCGAATTCTGGATTTTTTCTCACTTTGTATTTAATTTATATTTAGGTCGGATTTCAATCGCAGAGGGACCACTGTATCTCTGCCTAAGCGACTAGAACCTACGCCCAGCGATGCACGTAGACTCTGCGGATAATATATCTTCGTATTTCTAGGGGTCGAACACTGCTTAGGCTTGTCGGCTGATTTTCGTACGCTAATTGTTTAGACACTCTAACGCAAAAAAAAAAAAACAAAAAACAAACTGCAAAGATATTGGAGTAGATAACAGCAGCGGCTGACGTGCTAGGGGCATTCACAAATTGTCGGTCTTTAATATCTGCAATATCATTATCACCCGACATTTATACTATGCTGATTGGCAAGAAATCCATTTAAGTGTTCCAACGTCATTAGGTATAATTAATCATATTTTGGCACAAATAAACAGAATTGCCAATTTAGAATTTTTGTAATTTAAAGGTGAACGATAGTATGAATTTTCTCGCTTCGGAATTTATTCTATCTATAGACTAGTTAGAGTAAACATTTTCGCAGTCTCCCCTGTTTAAATAATGAGGTGTTTACCCGGCCGATTCCCTAGAGTTTTTTCCAATTCCAACACATTTCTCTCAGTGCAGCCAAGCAACTCCAGGAGGAGAATGGGAGGATGGGAGGTCGCATTGCCAGCGTCAGCGGCACTAAAATGAGTAATAATCACGCGCTGCTCGGCCAAATTTGTGGGTCGAAGAAAAGCTGCTACGTGCAAATGAATATTTCAAATATGCAAAGCTCGGCGGGGGAAGTGGAAGTTCATGCATCTCAATTGGCCGGCGGCCAAATAAAAACGATTTTCCTCTGCTGTTGGTAAATATTTTCAGTTAATTTTGTTGCGGGCGTCGCGTCAGAAATTCTTGAATCAAAATTATCGGGTGGGAGAGCAAGGACAGGCGACCGCTCTAAAAACCCTCTTCCTTAGATCCTAACTTTTAAAATATTAAATAGTTTAAAACAAAATATTTTGGCGCATTAAATGTTTCCTAAATTATAAATTATAATTATAGTTTACTTAAAATTTATTCGAGCTTCTCTTGAATGCTTGTTTAAATTGAATTGAAATTATTTGTTTACTTATTAACGTTGGCTCTGTGTTAATTAAACGAAGCATGAAAAGTTCCGTCTGCTAGTGTAGCAAATTTGTGCTAATTAGAGGAATATGCTTGAATGTTGGATGGCCTACTGCTCGATTGATTGATCGACTGACTGACGGATCGAATGTCCGCGCTTCACCTTTTGACACTCGTTCTTGACCAACCATCCCCCTCTTGCACCGAATCAATCGAGGAACTTGGGCCACAAGTGTTTGCTTAACCCTCGACAGACACGCGAACCAAAATAAAGCACTCGCCATTCGCTTAATTGATTTGTTCTGTATCGATAGACGTCCGTAGTCCCGAGTTCCCGAGTTCCAAGTCCCGACAAAAGTGTCAATGGCCCTCTTCTCCCAGTCCCAAGTCCATGTCCAAAATTCTTAGCTCTATTGACCACTTTTCAAAGCCAAAGCAGCGGTTTATGTGTGGCCACAATTCACGAACAATGGTCACGAATTAATGAACTAATCACTTTCCACGTTATCATTCACTTTTCCCTTCATTCTCAACACCTTCACCTTCGGTTTATATTTTTTTTATCGCAGGCCACGAATCTTTTGCTGATAAATCAGGTGTGAACCAGTTGCAATATAATTGAAACTTAATCTGCGACTAATTCAATTTTATTGCCACTGAAAACCGGTTATGAACCGCCTACAAGTGGTTTATGCCCATTAATAAAGCCAAATAATTGTTGGCATAGGGAAATGAATAGAAGGTTGGGTTATGTGGTTATATATTTATTAAAAAATCATTCAAAAATTAACCTCTAGATTAAGTGGTTATAGAATTCCATATTTCTTTGGATTTTAGATATTTTATAGTTATACTGGGATGTTCGCGATATCTCTTTTTGTTCGCGTTATCTGCCTGCGCATGATCATCCCAATTTTTGAAATGCTATTATTTCAATATGTGTTGTGCTCCATTTGCGTCAAAGATGCCCACCTCTTGCTCGGTCCCCTTCTCAATATGGGCACTTCCAAAATGTCGCTCGGGACATTTGCACACCTTTAAAGTTGAAAAAAAATTCTAAAACAATGGATTTTAATTTAAATTATGGGCTTTTCTTTTCACTCTTCCCAAGCTCTATTTTTGGTAAAAACCTTGATTTTGTACCACTTTTAGTTTTTAAAATATCGGTAAAAAACTGCCGTATTCGCTCGGGACAAAAATAGAAGTGGATTTCGGGGAAGTTCATACAACAGCAGAAATTAGCAAATTATGATGGAATATTTGAATGCGATTTTTTTAGAATGTTGTTCAAACATGTCGCTGTGAAATGCTTTTGGTTTTACTCAAAAACTCTTTGCCGTTTTTTTTTTATGCAGTTTCAACGACATTCGCTCGGGACATGTCGCTCGGGACATTTTTTCCGACTGTTTTGTAAAGCGGATTTCTTTACCTCTATCTCTCAATTGCTGGATGTTTTGCTTTTAACTTAATAGTTTAGCATGTGAATGAAGCATTCAGTACAGAAAAATGTCACATATTGGCATTCCTATAGGATAAATTAACAATAGAAGACAGGTCCAAAAAATAACAAAAAAATAGCCAAAAACTGATTTTTGTGTATATTGGTGGGGTTTGTCATAAAAATAATCAAACTATACTCCAAATTTGTAGTTAAGCTCAGTATCCAACTAATTAGAAACTAATATCGGGGCAAAATCATGTGGAAATATGTTTTATTCAAGTTTCAAGGTTTTTGGCTTGGTGGACTTTTTTTTGGAAGTGCCCATATATTGTTTTATTGGATGCTGTCGAAATGCTGCTCGCCCGCAGACTTAATTGAAATGTATCGTTTGTCGTTTAACGTTGCTTGGACGCCACCCCTCTCCCTCTTTCCTTCCTCTTTACATTTTTGTTAATTGAGATTCCAGGGGTAGGGAGGAAAGGGGGTGTCTGGGCGGAAGAACGACAAAGTCAATGTCAAGGCGAGCCATGCACTTAAAGCGTCCACAAAGTGTTGCAAACGTTCCACTAAAATGAAATAGCACCATAAAATACAGACGAAGAAAAGTGTACACTTTTCTTTATGATTTTATAAACTATCTGTAAGCATTGCATACATTCTGGCGACCAAAAAAGCCAACTAAAAATAGCCGCAATGTTCAGTTCAATCGATACGAGATTTGGTATGGGGTGAGCATAGGGAAAACAAAGAATTTCCCATCTTAAATTCTCTCAGTACACGTCCCTTTTTAACGCCAACTTGTCACTGTTATTTGTTATTACCGTAAGCAACAGTAATTGTGACAGAAAAACCAATAGAGTGTTAATTAAAGACGCCAATAACACCTTGACATTGTCAACAGACAACGCGAAAAGGTAAAGGTTAGATTGAGCAAAGGTTAGTTTGAGAAAAGGTTAAATAGATCATTAATATGCTATATCTTTATTCATAAAATATATTGCAAAATATTAGGATCGTTAAAGCTTTATGAAAAAAGAAACGAAACTTCCTTCTTTTCAAGAGATTTTTAAGTTTTAAGTATAAGCTTTTGACCTTTATAGCATGGACACAAACCTCTTATAAGATCTTAAGATCTGCAGAGATGATCATTGGTATGAAATACCAGGTTTCGGAACTCAATTTAATTTTAATGAATATTTTGCAATAATCTTTAAAGATCGGCGTCAAAACGCATGACAATAAACCCCCTGCTAACCGGCATTTAATCTTGTGCTAATCAGTTTTGCTTATATATAGTTATATAGGTTATATAGTTCATTTGGTGTTGTCGTTGCCTCGTCTTCTGTTGGCATATCAATTTAACTCAATTGATTTTTAATTGACTCGTGACGCGCCGATTGCTCTGCCAACGTCGACGATTCAACGACTCGACGATGACGCTAATGATCGGCCGTAATAATTACAAAGCTATAAATTCATTTGGATTCGTTTCGTTTCGGGGCAGCTGAGAATATTAGACAAAATTCGTTTGTGCAGGGCGATTGCAAAATAGAATTACACTGGGAAAAGCATTTAAAAATCCAAGGAAATAGCTGGCCAATCTTGAAGTGCATATAAAATATGCAAATTGATTGGAAAAGGCTGCTAAAAATAATAACGAACAGCTGCAAGAGAAAACACGGTCCTGCTTCCGATTTCGTTATCTCTTATGCATGGTGGAAAATGCGGCACATGTCCATGAGAATTGAGAATTGAAAATTAGATATAAGAAATAAGAAATAGCTGGGCCAAAAACACTTTTCCCTCTCATGCAAGCTTAATGCTTTGGTTTTGGTTTTGGGTCGGGTTCTGGTGAAATACAGAAATTGGCTTCTCAAGCTGTTGCCAGAGGGAAAAATCCAACACCAGACAGATGGAAAACTTGGGGGCAACGAGGAACGCGCTTCGAGGCATTGAACTCATTTTTCCCTGCTCGGGCGCCATTCAATTATTTGTGAGCTTAGCAAGGACACGCACACACAGATACAGATGTAAGCAACGAGGACAACACACAGACACAAGCATACATCACATCACGAAACTTTCTGTTTGTTTGTGGGCGGGCTATGAATTTTAGAGGCTCGTCGTTTTCCCTCCCTGACCTCCCAGAAATTTTCCCCGCTTTCATGACATTCCCTAAAAATTTAACGGGTCTCTTGGCTATTTACTCAACAAAAAAGGGTTGAAAATTCCATTAATTAGTAATTTTTATGGATTAAAAAATATTAAAATTATTATTAATATTTTTTAAAATCTTAGATTGAGTAAAGGTTGTTTTGAGCAATAAAAAATATAATAATACAGCTAAATGTAAGTCCATCATTTCATAATAATCATTATTTAAAAGGTTAGATTGAGCAATGATTCAATTGATCATTAAAGACTTCTCATTAATATGCAATATCTTACAGATTCTAGTTCATTTGTTTAAAAATACTTTGGGTAATTTTGTCAAATGAATTTATCACTGCAAGTTCTTTATAGTATATGGCACATGTTCTTTGCTAGTATTCTGTTAATAAAAATTTAATTAGAAAGTGATTATCCTAGCCATAGCGCCCAACTTAATGATTCAACCAAATTGTGCAAACTTCTGCCGGTTTTCTCATCGAAATACATGAAATTTTTATAGGCGACGGCTGCCGCTGACATTCGAAAGCGGTGGTCCACGTGTCACTTTTGTGTGGGTATACGCATATATATATCCCTGTGTATATGGGGCACGCCCCTGGCCCGCAGGAGGGGGCGGTTCGGGGTGGCCACCTGTTTTTATTGGCACCCCCGCACTTACGCAATGGAAGCCGGCTCCTGGTGACGTTGCCAGCTGTACATGCCGTTTTATGTGTCTCTGTGTCTCGAGTCTCTTGGCCAGGCTAAAAATAGCCAAGTAGGGAAATGGGGAAAAGGAAACTGGTTTTCTGCTGGAAAAGCTCTGCTCACGGCGCCTGCGCTCTGCGGCATGTCCTTGCCAGGACATCTCGGCCTGATAACTGATAGCTGCTGGCTGATAACAACTGGCTGGCAGGCTGCGTTATCGCCGCCAACTTTCACTGCCTTTCTGAGCGCCGCTTCAGCGATGTAAAAGTTTCACGGCAGCTGGGGAATTGAGCAGCCCAAAAGCAAAAACACAAAAAAGGGAAAACACAAAGCACACTTTGTGGGGCCACCCACTCGCCTTCGCCAAATGACAAAGCCAAGGACAATACGTGATTCGCACAATGGCGAACTTCTTAGCCCTGGCCCCCAAATTCCATCCATGTTCTCCTCCAAATGAAATCAGCTAACTGCGCCGTTGCTTAACCCTCAACTACATTAGATCACTGGGACGAAAATTGCATCATAAAGAGAAGAGAATATTTAAATTTTTGCATTTTAGTATGTTCTTAAATGTTGTTTTCTTTTGTTTATTAATACCTAACGTCATGTACAAAAATCCATACATAACTCTGTTATTTTTAGACTTTTTTTTATTTTTTTAAGTTAAAAAATAAGTTGTATTTGTGTACTTTAAGACACCACAAACAGAACTTGAATACACATTTTTTTTCTTATAAAAATTAAATCTCTTACATCTAGTTATTTTTCCTAATCAAAGTAACCTTTTTGGTTGAATGTCAGGGGAGGTGGGGGCTCAGAGCTTGTAAATAATCAGTATAACTATACAAACTCAACTGAAAACACCACACACCACAAAGTATTACCTAGAATACTTTTTTTAGTCAACGAAGATTTTCGATTACGATAGAAATGGTCAAAGTTCCGCCCGATTCGGTCATGATGCCCTACCTTGTGAGTACTAAATTTTGGTAGTCCATTTTTCCAAGCTCATTGAAACGCAATTATTTCAAAAAAGGCTCATAGATTAGGCAAATGGAAAGGCAATCGAAATGTATTATCTAGACTGCCCACAGGATTTGTTCTCTCCTTTATCGAAACCGAGCATTACTTGATGCGATGGATAACGCAGGAGGATTATAATCGAAAGAGACAGGCCGCAGGTGCAAAAGAGTATTAGTGTTCAAAAAGCCGGAGCCATGGGCAATATGATTCCGAGTGTTATGGATTCGGGGATCCTGCCAGAACGGTGGGATCGTATGTTTAAGGCTAGTTAATACATGAACTGGATACGTCGCCACGAGTTGGTTGAAGTTTCAGAACGTTCAGCCGAGTTAGAATATTTAGACGAATCCTGGGAAAGCCAAAAGGAACATGAATCCTCTTATAGCTCCGGTTACAGTTCCCGTCGAAGATCCGAAGTCGTTCCCATGGAGGTGGATGAGGACTATTATGCAATTAAGAAAGAAGTTGGGCCGTCGAATCCTAGCTGTGTTATAAGGATTCCGCCCCCAGATAAAATTTAAAATTGAGTGTTAACTATAAAATTGTATTAAAGTCCTAGGTTCCTATTCAGAATAGAATTTTAAACAAATAACTTGAACAGTAAATTCTATATTTTAAATGTATTTAAAAATGTACATTTTTGTACTTTTGTCTTATAAAATCATTGACTAGGCACCTTCCCCACAAGTTCTTCTGCTATAAAAGGGCTGAAATTCTCCGCTTCGTTGAATGGGAATGGGACAGCCCCCCCACTCAGCGGATTGCACAAGCGAGATGAAAGTCGTGGATCTCAGAGAATTGAGGGGAAGCACTGGCAGTCTCTTAAGTGTGATTAATGACAAAAGTTCTAAATTATTAGCTAAATGCATCAGATCATCAGAGCCGCAAACTATTTATTTTATTATTTTTTACTATTATTTTTTAAAAATGTACAGAATATGTAGCCTACCTCAAAGGCAGAAGCATAAAATATTCAATATTTTCTTATATAGAAAATCAAAGAAAAACATCTCTTGACGAGGTTAAAAAGACAGTGACAGTTCAGATATTTTTTTTATAAAAATAAATAAAATAAAAATCAAAACAAACTTTGTAAATGCTAAATAATTGTGGTTTGTTTTATTTATGTTTTTAATTACTTTTAATCCTTTTAAACACCCATCTTGTTTCATAAATTTGCCATTATTTTCCCCAGTGCCCGAGATTTTGTGGCCGAATTATGTCAAGTGCAAATTGCACCCACTAAAAGCCCACCCACGCACCCAAGAAGAATTACCACCCCCTTTGTGGCGTTGCCTTGACTTTGTCCTTGACTCTCGCTTGGCTGCAACTTTTGGGCTTTGACTTTGGCTTCCGGCTGCCAAGGAATCTCGGCTCAGAGAGCTCGTTTCCTCCCAGCTACGCAAAAAGCCGGCTTAACTGCCTGGCCATATAATTAAACCTTTCGCAGTAATGCGATGGCGGCGCCTAAAAATAGGCAACACCTGCCGCGCGAAGGCTAGAATAGAATAGGAATCGGGAATGGGAATCCGAATCGGAATCTATCTGTGTATCTGGGACGTACAGTCGACACCCACTGATAAGCAACCCCCGGCAGCTTTTAACGATTGCGTAACTGACAATGAAAAGGAAAGGGAAAGGGAAAAGGCAGGGGAATGGGAATTTGGTGGCCAAGTTTAGCCTTAGCCATCGTAAAAATTGCTTGCTTTTAGGAACAATAACGTAAACAACCTCAAATGGAAGCGAAATGCCAGTAATTGGCAATATCTAACTGATATGATGGTACTTGGCAAAAGGAATTGGCAGAGAAGGATTCGAAGGATGTAAGGATATGATATCTATGATATCAAAATAATAATAGTAAGTTGAAGACCCAAAATGATATTGATATCCAGAAATATGAACTATCTTATCGAAAACCGTTTATGGGTTGTAAGTGCACCCAATAAATCAATGAATTCACTTTCAATCGTCTGTCTAGTTTCCACATAAATTAATAAGGCCAAATAGTTTCGAATTTCTGATTTGTTGATAGAATTCCCGGTGAATATCCATTAAGACCTTAAGTCCATAGATGTTTGTTTTTAAGTACATTTTTTTAAAGCTAAAAAGCCGCACTGATAAAAATAACTAGTGTCAATCAAGAAGACGATTATTTTGTTATCAAAACCATTGTCCATTTATAAAGTGTTGTCCATTTGATAAGTTTTTTTTTTTGGGAACGGAATCAATGCGAATTAATGAGGCTTTTTGGGTTCTTCCCCTGGGAAATTTTGGCAGGGTGTGTCACAGTCACAGTTTCGTTTGTTTATCTTGCAACTTTTATGAACTTGGCTCTTTTCTTTTTGGGTTTTTCGGCTGATTAGAACAGCTGTTCTCAGCTGCAATCATGCACATTCAAGTACACTCTCGCACACAAACACACACACACGGCCCACTCACACACAGGGGAAACCGTTAGCCGGTCTGTAATTTACCGTTTTTTCTTTTTTGCACATGCGCATGCGCGTCACACACAAAAATTCACACAAAAAAAAGCAGCTAGTAAAAAAGGGGAGCAAAAACGCGAAAAAAGCACGCACACCTGGCATCACATGCTGCAACTCGAGCAATTGTTTGCCCGCTCACTTAGCACCGCAGAAATGGAAATAATGCGAATAATCATCACTAATTTGCGACAAAAAACGGGAAAAAAAAATAATAAAAAATCTAGCGGAATAGCGGGCGATAACGATAACTGGAACTCACCATTGGCGTGAATATGATTTGTGTTGTTTGGTTGGACATGCTGATACATGACTTGCTACAGTGCGCCAATGTCGTCACTTTCATGTCACTTTAAACACTGCGAGAGAATGAAAGCGTCGCCCTGCGGCTCTGCGTATTTATAAGGCGCCGGGAATCGGGAATCAGCAATCGGGTATCGGAATGCGAATCGGAATCGGTATCGGAATCTCTCTCGCGCCCTCTTTCTCGCTTTTCTCAGCTCTGCCCGGCGTTTTCCCAGTATTTCTCTTCTTTGCTCCTTTTGGAGTGGAAAGCATAAAGCAGAGCTTTCGGCTACACGGGAAAAAAATATACATTAAATTGGGTATAAATAGATTGGTAAAATTCTTGATCTTAATCATTTCATACTACGACTTATTCTCGAATTTCGGTTTTAAGTTTACATTTAAATTTTATCTTCTTTTTAAAAAATTAATATATATTTATTTAGTATTTAAAATTAAATTACAAGTGGATTTCATCGTAATTGTTTACTGTGTAGAGAGAGCTTGCGTGGGCGAGCGGCTTGCAGGAGCCCGGAGAAAGGGAGAAAGAGAGAAGAGGGGTGGCTAGATAAAGGGGCGGCTTGATGACGTAAAATGGGCGCTGGGCGATGGGCGGAACCGAATTTGGTCGACGGCACGAAACGCACTTGTTAAGCGACTAGAACTGGCGACCACCGAATGCAGTGCCTCTCGACGATGCAGCCGGGAATCACCTGTTCGTATTAGTGGTGCCAAACAGCAGCGGGCACGACGATAGCAACTTCTGGTGGAAATGTCAGAAAACTACTATATAAATTTTAGCAATGGTGTGTAAATTATATTTATAATTAACTCAATGATTATAAATATTTATTCTAAGATGCAAGTCGTAATCCTAGCATTATTGATTTTAAATGAAATGCTAATTGAGGTTTTTTAACGACATCATTGCTATACATTGTAGGTTTCAACACAGATTGATATCAGAAAAAGAAAGGGGTTTACTTCAAGGTCAAATGAAGGGTGATTAGATATACATTACATTACTTTGTACAGGGGTGTACAAGTCAAAACACCTGTTGAATAACTTATATTTTATACTTTAGGATTTATATTTTATGAGGAAAACAGAAAACCTAGTACAATTATCGGGATTTACATATACACCCGGTTTCTGGCGCCCCTCTTAAAGGTCTTCTCAATTCCTAAATGACTTTTGACGACGACAACTTGTCACCGAAACGTAAGCAAATATATTCGCAGTTCATGCCAACTCAGATTTCTATGAATTCGATCTGCTATCTGTTTTTGTCTCAGACATTGTTTTTGTCTAAAATTCGAATCCATATTTCCCACCCTAAAAGATACGTTTTTTTGCCGAAACATAGGAAATAATAGCCCAAAAATGGAGTGTCATACCTTTTTGAACTCGTAGTTTAATTCTGAATCGATTTGCGTTAAAGTCTAGACATTTTAATTTTTTGTAATTTTTTGCAAAAAATTATGATGGTACCCCTTATCAAAAATGCGAAAATTGGGTCCCAAATTATTTTTTTTAATTCAGACAAAAAGTGCACTGATATTAAATATTGGTTATTAGCTGCTCAAAACAGTGCGCTTTTTTGATTTTGGAGCATTTTTGGACAATTAACAGCAATAAATCCCTTAAGAAAAATGTCAAATTTGTACAAAAATCAAAATCCTGATTTTCCCCCCAAAAAAAATTGTATTTCGGTCATAAAAATGGAAATAATGGTCCAAAAATGGTGTGTCCTACCTTGTTGAACTCGTAGTTTAATTTTGAATCGATTTGCGTTCAAATCTGGACATTTTAATTTTTTGTCATTTTTCGCAAAAAATCATGATGTAACCCCTTATAAAAATTGCGAAAATTTCTGAAATTTTTTATTTTTCCAAAAGTGATGGGAATCGTTAGTTTAGGTTGTTAGCTGTTCAAAACAGTCGGTCTCTTAGCTCTCGGCCTTGATTTGTCCAAATTACGGATAAAAACCCGAAAAAAGTATATTTTTGTCTAAAATTCGAATAGCTTGCTTCTAAACTTCTAAACTATCATATAAATAAAATGTGCCGTTCTTTAGTAGCTGGTTAAATAAAAAAACACTAGATGCTTGCAATCATGATAAATTGCCGAATAAAAAGTGACAATTTGTAAACAAAGGGGAAGTAATTACAACGTGAGCAAAAAATGCTGAGTACATGGCATTCCCCTTATTTGTATTAAATCTGTTTTTTTATAACTAATTTATATTATCTGTTTGTCTTTTTTTTCCACCACCTAGCAGTTACTGAACATTTTAACTTAAAAATGTTTTAGAGACAAGAGAAAATAAACTGTTGCCTTTTAGGGTCTGCTAATGGGCTTGAAAGCTTATAACACATACGCACTGTTGCCAACGCATAAAAGTTAATTTAATCTAGGTGCAGTACATTTGGCATTTGTACACCAGTTATTCCAACGAAATTCATAAATTATCTGATAAAAATGGAATATATTATTTTTATTATTCGCTCAAATCCCAATCGTCATACGTGGCGTATGAGTAATTTGAAAGAAACTTTTAAAACCTAAATCTTAAAATCTTAAATCTTAAAATTAAATATTGTAGTTTTTAAATTTATTAATTGCTTATCAAAATCTACGATATTTAAGGGTGAAAATAAGATTACATTTTTTTGGACCGCTTGTTTTTAAATTCAAAAATCCCCACAAAACATCTGTTTGGCAATCGATAGTCACATGCGATAGTTTTTCAACAGTGTGGCAGCGCCCACAGCCCGCCAAATTCAAAAATCAATGAAATATGTGTGCATGTAAAATCAGTACTTTCGAAATATGGAACGCCATACCTTTTTGACCTCTTAATTGATGTATTCATATTTCGATCCATAAACGAAAACAAAGTAATTTAATGGAGCAGAAACCCATCCATTTTTTGACTACACATGGCAACGCCGGTTTACGAGTGGCAGCACCAACAATAAAAATGACATGGTGTGGCAGCACTACAATTCTCCCGCTAAACTTTTGAAATTGAAACTCTCGATTGATTTGCTCTGTACAATATTTATTAATTACGATTTTTTGCGAGTCATGCATGCATCAAGGTGCTTCTTACAGATAAATTATTGCTTACTGGCGCTCTTTTCGCTTTCTCGAGACTGCCCTAGTACGTAAATCGTTCACAAATGCTTAAACTGGGCTGACAGGAATCTTAATTTAGCGAATAATACAAGTCGTATATATAGATTACATAGATTACATGTATAGATACTTTCGTGGGTTTGATTGATTGATTGATTGATATATTAATCAATGACCGATTGCCTTGTAACAATTGAAGTTAATTAAATAAATTAAATACAGCTAGTTTGATTTTTAACTGCTACAAAATCGGTTAAATTGACATTGACATTTGACAAAATCACAAAAAAAAAAACAAAATGACACGATTTGATTGTTCTCCATGCTCTCTCAATCATTTCTTAGAACCTAGATTCTTGGGACTACTATTGCATAATCGGCTGGAGGATTACGCACAGGTGCGCGCCCTCCGTTGGAAGCGCTTCATGCGTCGATACCAGTCCTCCTTCCACTCGATCACTATGGAGTGCGGCCCGATGCCCAGGTAACCGGGTGGCGCCTCCGAGTCCCGACCCAAGATCAAATAGGATCTGCAAGAGATTGGGAAAGGAAATTAGAGGATAATATACCAAATAAGTAACAAAGCGAAAAATATTCATTAAACATTGAATTTAACTTAAATATTTTCCACTTTGATTTAATCACATAAAATATCTAATATTTCTAATATTTTCCATCTCCATTTCTGTTCACCTGTTTACTCTGATCTTGGGGCAGCGGCACTCCAGGTGCTTAGTCGGTATGATCCAGGTCATAGGACCGCGTTTTAGGATTGTACTCGGCATTCCGTAGACGTTCCCCGCGCCGCTGCTTTCGCCTGGCCTGCTGCGCTTGAAGACGGCCTGAATCTGCAGATCGTAGCGCTCCACTTCGCTGCTGCTGTCGCTGGGACTGGAGTTGGGATTGGGATAGTGATAGTCCGCCGGCGTAATCGATCCCGGCTGATCCTGGTCCATTTCGTAGTCCTCCCCGTCGGGATCCATTGCGCGTCGTGGAGCCTCCCTGCTGGCCGCCGCCTCGCTGCTCGTATCGCGACCAATTACTTTGGCCATTATTGCTAACGGGAGAAAAGGGTCGATTAGTAATGATTTTTTCAATGATAATTGAATAAAAACCAAAAAGTACTCTTTATTATTGGAAAAAATCTATTGTGGACTGTACTTATTTATATTAAAATAGATTACTGGATGAATAATATTTAAACAAATTTTTTTAAATGAAGAAATATATTAATATGTTATATTCATTACTTTAATTTTATTTTACTTAATTTTTTATTAAAGGAAAATATCTTTTGTGGACTTAATATTAAAATAGATTAAAAGCTGAATTTATTTTATCACATATCACAAATAATAAATAATATTTAAACCGCTTTTTAAATTTTAGTTAAATATTTTTGGCCAGAAAAGGATTTATCCCATTGGCAATTAATAAATAAAGAAATTAAGGAATATAATAATATATTTTCTTAATATATTCCTTTTATGTACTTTGTGATTTTTCAAACTCACCGTAGTCTCTTTTGCAGAACTTGTTTAGGTTTAGCCTTTTGGTGCTGACTCTGCATTTGCCGCATTCTAAAAGATCAAAATTCGAACGGGTTTACAATTAGTTTGGTAATTAGTAAAAAACGCTGTTCGCACTGTGTTCGCACTCGTCCTCAAAGATGAGTGCCACACAGAGCGAGCAATCACGTTCGCATTCCACACTTCCACATTCCATAGATGACATGAAGCTGAGCTAATGGATCGTAGTGATATTGTGTTAGGGGTTAATTGGGGATAGGATTTGAATGGGGCTCGTTCCCTATCCCTGCGATTTGTCCTTCGGCTGGGGCATTCCACTTTGGTGTTTACAATTTAATTGCGAAATTTATGTCTTTATGGCCAATGCCAATTAGCAGAAACAGAAACAGAATCAGAAACAGAAACAGTGGCAGCAACAACAGCAGTGATGCTCGATCAATTTTACATTAAGACTGCACTCGGAAAAATAATGCTATTTTATTTGATCGATTTCTTGATATTCCATTTCATAACTTCATCTGAAGTATTCGCGAAACTAAAAATGATATTTCACTTGATTGATATCTTGATATTTCATTTGTATGCATATTTCAAGTATTATTTTATTTTATATTTTCTGTGCTTTTTTATGCAATGAATTTTATTTAAGACTTAAAGTCTATTGAATTCTCTCTCTGTACTTTGACTTCGTGCCTTGGGCCGCCTTTTGTGGCGACTAAAATTAGCCAAGAAGTTTATATTTTGTTTTTCCTTCGGCTGGGAATTGCAATCTGCAATTTGTTTTTCTTTCTGCCGCCGATCGCAATGTCAAAGCAAACGTGACACAATTGCCACAAACTCGTCGATCTGTTCTGAGGCATAAACATTTTCTGTATTAAACAATTGAACTGGATGGAAAAGCGAAATAAACTAAAACTAAAATCGAAAGTGAAATGGCACTTTCCCTTGTCTATTTATGGAGATCTCCGCCTCTCCTCTCCTTCGATTTAAAGGCATTTCTCCGATGCACTTAGCTTACAAGCGATATTTATCGCCGTCATTTAAAGATCATTAGCCACGCCCCGAATACGAACGAAAATAACCGAAAATAATGCTGGGAGCTTCCTACAAATTCTGACTCACTACTTGGGAATCCTTCTATTTGTATGAAGGTGTTTTTAAGTGGGCCAAAATATCATTGAATTTCCAAGGAAATTTATAATTTCTCATCCCAAAAACTCTTTAGATAAATATAAAACTCGATCTTAAATATATTTACATTTATTTCTCATCCCAAAAACTCTTTACATAAATATAAAATTCCATCTTAAATATATTTCAATTTTCTTACCAAACTTTTAAACCTCTGGAAAACAGTCCAATCCACTTTAATTTGTGCAAATTTCGAGCAAACATAAATCTTGCGAGTAAAATTTTGCCAGTCATCAAATTAACATAACATTAAAATTGACCCACGACCCCCGGTAAACACACACACACCCACACTTTTCGCAACTAACTTTAAATTAACTCAAACTTGGACAGAATTTGAAATTAATTTAATAAGATTATCAAATTATAAATTCATAATTAACATTCATGTTCGCGCTGAGTGGTGGAAAGTGGGCGGTGCCCGAGCCAGCGCCACGCCCCCTCGTGTTGTGCCAATGAATAGCAAAGGACGAACTTTTTTGAGAGCCTGTGCCTGTGCTCCTCTGTCTGTGTGTCCATTTGCCTAACTCGCTTCTTGGTTACAGGGAAATGGAAAAAGGAAAACTTTCCACCGGCAACTTTTGCAACTTGCGCTTTTCTTTGCCGTTGACAAATAAATTTAAGAGGGGGCGCTCTTTAAACGCACTCCTCATCTCGATTTGCATTTTTGGCATGATGGATACAGGATGGTATAAAATGGTATGGGATGGTATAGGATGGCTGCTCCTTCAGCCGGAGGCCACTTGATATGCAACAATTGCAGCCAGAAATTGATCCTAGCCGTCTGGCAGCCATTCATATCTGGTTGCAATTTTAATGGACTTGCACAACTTGCTCCTCTGAGGTTGAGGTAATAAAATATTCTTTATCCACAGAGCATATTCTTACGAAAACTCAGAAAAAAATATTCCTAAATTTAAGGAATTATTAAAAAATAACAAAGAAATTTTTAAGATTGATTCCTATTTTTACGATTAGTTTTTCCCATTTACTCCTAAATTTGAAAAATATTTTACAAACACTTTGATAAGTTTTAGTTTGATAAAACCCTCCAGTAAATTAAATAATTGAAAAATACCCAAGACCTAAATAATTTAGAATAACACCTCCCAATTCCCTTTTTCTTTCTCATTTTCATTCGGTCACTTGGCAGTGACAATGTCACTCTATTATGATTATGATCAACTCGGCGCTTATATTTCCTGTGGCTTTTTAACTTGCTCAGTCAATTTGTCATTGTTTCCACTTGCAGCTGCATAAACGGCTCATCTTCGTCCTTGGATCCCTGGCTCCTTTCGGCCATCCTGCAGTGACTTTGCCTAATGCCTTGAGCAAATAGTTGGCAGCAATTAGCGGCAAAAAAGGAGGCAAAAGTACTGTTCATAAGTATATGCACTGAGTCCAGTACAGTGCGACTGAAAAGTAGGCGACTGACTGCTCTTCTCTTTGCCGCTGCAGCTTATTCATGGGAAATTAAATAAAAAACTTTTTTAATACATTTGCTTTGCCAAGTTTTCGCCTGCTCTCTGTCATTCTACACTTTCCTTCTTTCCCTCTTCCCTGTTTTTTTGCTTTCTTTTTGTCTTTTTGTGATGTTTCTTTTGGGCCCGCTTTGTTGTTGTTTTTGCCACTGTTGCTGCTGCTGTTTTAATACCCTGTAGTCGTAAATGTCCAAGGTATATTATATTAACTAAAAACTTGGAATATCATAAATCATATGATATATCTTTAAATAAAAGTTTTTAAAGAGAAACTACATTTCAAGTTTACCATAATTATTATTAAGTATTCGGATTTGAAGCAAGAAGAATGCAAATCAGTAGGAACTTTTCAGAGGAGGATTGAACTCTTGATCCAACCTACATTGAAAAATTTTAGCTTCTTTTTTGATTTATAATTTATGATCTATAATTTAATTTACCTATTTTTATTAATTGTTTAGAAATATCTAAAATAAACGTAGTGAGTACCCTGTATAAAGATCTGTCTTGTTTTTTTCTTCTTTCAATTTTATTGCAAAGTTTGTTTTGCTGGGAGTGAGGGAGAGTGTGCGAGCGAGAGGGGGCTAGAACTGGGCTTAGCATGATTTATGCTGCGTGGCGCATTTTGTGTGTGCTTGTTGCACTTCTCCCCTCGCTGTCCCTCCCCCTCGGGGCCCCACTGTACTTCCTTCGCCACTGTAACTAAAAGTTGCGTACAAACATTTGCGTTGTCTGTTAAGTGCCGTTGTCCTCGACGTTCCGCTCCCCCGCCCCCCGTGCTCCTTGTTTTTCCGCTTCCACTTTTCCTGACCGACAACCGACTGCACTTTAGCGGATTTGTGTTTTCTCACCCATTTGAAAGGATTACAAAGGCGAGGCAAGCGCCACGGCAAACTAAGCGGCTCCTTCGCCGCGGGCTTTAAACAGTGGGCCCTCGCTAATTGAGATATGCCATTTAAATACCATTACTAAACTTAAACGTCCTGAATTTTGCAGTTCTCTAGAAAAAGGTCTAGCTCATATGATCATTAACAAATTCCAGAAGTTGCCACATACGATCATATATCATATCATATATAAAAATTAACCCTATAATAACTTTTGTTTTTGGCTAAATGAATTTACTAATTAATTTAATATTTATATTCTGCTGTTCCTATCTCAAGACACATACTAGATATCATATCATATCATCCATAATATGAGTTAACCTTATTTTCTGATAATTAATTTATCTAATTAATTTCTGGTTATCTTTGCCCAGACTTCACTGTAACCACTGATAAACAATACTACCAGTTAGGATAGGAACGATGGTAGCGAAAAGGACTGGCATCCGGATAGTCGGTTGGTTAGCACACAAAACACAACAGATAGATATGGATATGAGAGGAGGCACTTACTTACCCCTGCCGCCCTCTGTGCGATAATACTGCGACTGGGCGGCCGTTCCGGTGGCGCCACTGCGATCGCCGCCCACAGCTGGCGAGGATTGGGGCTCATCCGGCTCGGGAGCGGTGTTCTGGGTGTCCAGCATGTTGATCATTCGCGGCGGTTGCTCTGCAATTGGTTTAGATGATAAATAATATATTCCATAATATATCTGCATGTCAGAAGAAATCATAGAAAATCCCTAGTACCCTCGAAGACTTTTAAATGTATAGGAGAATAATTTTCTAGTATTTCCAATATTTTCTAAAATTTTCTAGTGTTTAAAAAATACAGAGTAATTTTATTTGTCTAAGGGCCGGTTTCTCGAGTGCCGGCTAACATTTCTCGAACAGATAAAGTCCCTGCTAAGGCATTTTGGCTTTCTCGAGCATAAATGTGAGAGCTAACTTTGACAGGGACTCGGAGTCCCTGTTAAGCGTTTTCGACTCGATAGAATGACAGCTGATTTCCCAAAGCCAACTATGAAGATGAAACGAAATCACAGCTGACTTTTCCTTTAAATTATACCCAAACAGCTGATGAAATAATCGAAGCACGCCATTTTTTACCCTTCACAGCACAATTCTGTGCGTTAACAGCACTCTGTAATTGTTTCTCGTTCAGATAAATTAAAGTAGTCGAGAAAGCCGATTTGCTTTTACGAACAGTTTATCTGGTATTTAAGTTTTTCGAACAGATAGCTATCAGGGACTTTGACAGGGACTCGAGAAACCGGCCCTAAATCTTTAAAATTTTTCAGGAACGGAATGAAATCCTTTGGGCTACAAGAACTCAAACTGAATAGGGAATACTCACTTATGCAGGGGGCGATGTGGGAGCGGCTCTGCTGGTATCCCCTGGCACATCGGTTGCAGGTCAGTCCGGTGACCCCGTCCTTGCAGGGACATTGACCGCTGGTGCTGTTGCAGATCTTGCCAGATGAGCCGATCGGGTGGCACTCGCAGGCTGGAAATAAGAAAAAGACATACAAATTAGCTCGGCTAGATCACAAATATCAGATGGATGGAACGAACAAGATACAGATGCTGCTGACTTTCTGATTTCTGCTTTCGTGCTTGCCAAGCGTGCTGAGAGCTTAATGGACACGGTCCGGCACTTCAAAGACAAAATGGCAATCGCAAATCGCCAATCGCAAATCCACTTGAGTTTTACTTAAAGTCTTTCAAGTTCTGATTCTGATTCTGATACCCATTTGTGGTGCATTTCCCACCGTCCTTGCTCTCAAGCAGATTCGTTTATGAGCCGTGGAAATGTACATTAACAGATACGATTACGGTTTCGAGCATTCTGTATTGTATGTACGAATGCGAGTATATTCCGGCAAATTGAGTGCACGCCACCAGTTAACGGGGCTGTCCGCCGTGGCCGCTCCATGTCCGTTTCTTGTCCGTCCGCACACGGTTAATTGCAAATGAGAGTGCAAATGGGCCCGCCCAGCATTATGTTCGGTCCCCTCAACCCACTCCCCTTGAGCTTTTTGCCTTTATGGAATCAGTGTGCACTGGAACAATGCCAGTTTTTCGCGTCCCTTTATCAAAAGAAAATTAAATTCATTCGAATACGAGGTAGAAGCTGAATTATAAAATGAAGGCAATCGCGCATGCATCATTTAAGCGCAAAAATATGTTAAGGTAGACACTATTATAATTTGTCTACTTAAAGGAGTGAAATATATTTAATTTTATTTATATAGTAATAATTAAACCATATTTATCTGATTTTTTAAAGTCTTTTTCTGTGCTAAAATTTCACTAGCTATATGTATACAAATTCATTTCTGTTTCTAGAGAAGAAAGCAAGAAAGAAAACAAAATCTGCGTTATCCTTTATTTCACGACACTTGTCCTTGTTTTCGGGGGATTATTCGTGTCACATGTGTGGGTCTTTGAGACTATTGTGAAGGAAACCAGACCCCACAGTTGTTTCCTCAGCTGGGCCTGCTGCCTTCTGCCTGTGGGTTGTTTAGTTAATAAGCCGCTTTTGGCCACATTTAATGGGTCTTTGCGACGGCTGTTTGGCCAAAAGCTGTTGCATATTTAAAGATTTAACTTGTGGGGTAGGCAAAGGTGCAAGTCAAGTTCTGAACTGAATACACACTCGTAGCACTTAACCCCTTATTCAAGTACAATCGTTTGTAAAGATGCACAACGAAAATTGTCCTCTAAAAATAACTATTTGTTGGAAGTAATTTTTTGGGATACAATGTTTATTGTATCAGAAATTCATAGTTTCGATTTCCATACGAATTTTAAAGTAAACCAAATTATCGGTCGACTTTTTGCCATTGCAAACTAATGGGTTAACTAGGCCTACGGTTCATATCCCTCTGTCCTTTCATTTCCCCCATATCTACGTACATTTACCGTGTTCGTTTCGTGCGTTCGTGCAACATTTGGTAATTTAATCCGATTTACAATAAATTAAATGCGATTTATATGCACACAGTGACACATCCGGATGATAACAACAACAATAACGACAACGGCAACAACAGACAATAATAACTTGCAACAACAGCAACAATTCAGAGTGTCCATTGTTGCTGCCTGCAGGGCGCTTCATAGTCACCGAATGTTTCTGCATAGTGGGCAGAAAACAGAAAACATAAAGGTACGATAAAAATATAAAATGTGAATGAAAATAAATATAATAAATATTAACAAATAAAACTTTAGTCCCCTCTTCGTTTTTCACCTTGCATCAAATATCAAAATAAAAAAAGTACTTTTAATATTTATTGGAATATTTTTAGAAGACCGTAATTTTAGTTCCCCAAAAACAGGTATCGCATAACCTCTGAAAAGGGCCAATTTGTTGACCCACCTGGCTCCACTGTGCGACATACGGTGGGTTTGAGGCCAACAATATGACAACAATATGCGAGTTGTGCGCGTCGCGCTATCTGCGAAGTTCAGAGTGTGGGCCATTTGGACCTGGGGAATATGGTATATGGAATAAGGGATATGGGATATGGATATGGAGTATGGGGATGTGGGACTTGGGACTTTCAGCTTTTGGATATTGTTAAAATAAGCAAGCCAGGGAAAAAACGCAATGAAAGAGTTCATTACACATCCACTTCCACATCCACAACCCAAATCCATATCAGTGCTCGGCATTGGCATTGGCATACATATATCCCCGCATCCGTATTCGGATCCCATCTGCATTCCCGTTGCATTCCATTTCCATTTGCGAGTGCCTTTCCCTCTGTTTTTATCCCATATCCTATTCGGTATTCGCTTGGTTCGCATTGGCCGAGCAAAAGATTATGAATTTTCATTATGAGTGGCTTCATTTTCCTTTTTCGAATGCTACGTATGGATTTCCCCCAGAGCCATTTGGCATTTCTATTTAATTATTGAGGGAACAGGGAGTGCGCAGTGAGTCAGGGAAGACCTTTCACCACAGCAGATCTGATCTCCTTTGAATTTGGCTTGAAGAACTGGAACAGTGCGACCCGAATTGGGACAAAGAACGAGTCACTCCTTTTGGCTCTTATCCCCAGATCGATTCGGGTCAGGGTTTCCCGAAATAAATGCGCTCCTAAAGAGAATGAATCATGATTCGTGAAATTAATGCCCTGGAATCCCAGGGAAAGTGAAGCAAGTTTGGAATTTATACCATCTATTTTATATTTCTTATTTCCCATTTTTTTTACAAGGAAACATTAATTTCCCTCGCAGCGGATGCAAATCAGAATTATTTATTAATCGAATCCATATCATTATTGACTCACATTTTCCGGGGCTATGTACTCACCAGAACTCACCTAGAACTGATGATTTAAGGCCATTATCCACTCATTAGATCATTGATTTAACACAAATTTCTCGATAAGCAGTGCGCACCGATTCAGAGTTACCTCATTGAACGACCTATTAAACAGTTGAGTGCACAGAAATAAACATACACAGGTTCATGTGCGTATGTGCCGAATATATATTCGAATATATATATTTCGATGTTTATTCACATTTGCAGGTATGTTTTATGTTTTATGGCATCTGCCAGGCCCGGGATATTTTTAAATCAATCATTCGCAGTACTGGCAGGCTGGCATTCATTTGTGGATGAAATACACCGAATGAGAATGTGTTTTACCTCTCCTTTTACTCCCCTTGACCTCCGAGCTCCGACCCATTTGCATTTATTTTCGACAATTTTCTGGCTTTGAATAGGTGTATTTTTTATTACCCCAAAAAATGTGATTAAATGCTGCTCGATTGGATAAACGCCCAGAATCGCCTTAAAGGACCTTAATACCTTAAAAATTTTGTAAAGGTGTGTATTAAAAAAAAGGATAAAAAAGGTATTAAAAACCTAGCGAAATATAGAAGAAAATTTTTAAATTGTACCATTGATTAAAAAGTTATTGCAAAAAGGGCAATGCAAGCAGTCGAATTACTACTTGCTGTATTAATAATGGGTATCTGACAGTCGAGGTGCTCGACCCTAGCGTATTTCCTAGGTTTTCCTATTAAATTTGTGCACTTGAAATTAATGTTTTGCTTGCGATTCCAGGTAATATCCATTTAAGATCCCCTTCTTACAAGCACCCACACTATGTTTTTCTTGGCTTTCGCTTCCTTTCGCGAGGCAAACAAAAAATTAATTAAGCAAACCACCCACTCACTCACCCAACCAAAACTCAGGCCAAAGTACTGGGCCCAGTGTAAACATCATAAAGCAAATCAAGCGCAATTTGTTATTGTTTATTTCAACTTTGCGCAAGCAAACCCCCCATGCCCCCTCCCAAAAACCAAGAAAAACCACTGACCACTTTCCTCCAGGAAAGTGCGTTACATAAATTCACCGCAAAAGTCTCTTCCTTCGGCCATCAATTGCCATAAAATATTACCCGAAATTTTCTAGTCGAAAAACGAAAAGGAAAACCAAAAATTGTTGGCCATAAAGAGCACAGCTGCCACTAGTCAGGGGTCTATTGTTGATGCTCCTGGTAGCTATTTGTTATTATTAGCAAAAACAAAAGCCCACAGAAACATCGTGCAGTTTTCGAAAGAAAACCAAACAGACGGCGAAGAATTATGAAGAAGATTTCGCAGACAAAGTCTGCCCATCTCCGTCGGATGATTTGCAGTGAGAGATTACACCTGACCTGAAGTGGGATCTACGGCTCCTCCAGCCTTTAACACTAACCAGAACCGATCTATAAATATGGATAGTGACTGTACTTGTGCATTCGGGGAAAATCCATTTGTGCAAGTATACTTGGTAGCTGGAAAAATAAACCATCTGATAATTCTGCAAAACAATTTAATTTCAATTTCAAAAAAAAAAAAATTTAGTTTAATTTTGGAACAATTGAGTTATATTATAAAGTAAGAAATTTCTCACAGTTTTATTTCTCCATAATATTCTTTATTATTACTGCCGAATGCTTCAGGCTCCACATGCTCCTTTAAGTCGCGGATTACGCATTCAATTAAACGCACATATTCGCCATTCAACTACCGCCAATGATTCTCTCGAATGATCCACCAATTGCTCATGAATTTAAATGAGCCATTCGATTTAGCCCGAGAGCCTCGAAACTCGAACTTCGAACCTCGAAAGGCGATTCACCTTTGCCATCGCACTTCACACTTGAGTTTCAGTTCTCAGCCGGCGGGCGGAACTTTTCCTTGGGTCTTATTAATAAATCAAAGGCTTCGCGCGACACTCCAGGAAAAGTTGCTTTCCGATGGAAAATGGTTGGGAGGGGGGATTTTCCCTCGGTAAGCGGGAGAAAAAAGTTTATCGCGGTTGCAACTGGCGCAAAGTTCGCTCAACTTTCGTTCGTTCGGCGTTCAAATGAGCAAAAGCAAAATGTAAGGGAAAAGGAAAAGCCTCTTCTCGTCTTGCTACAATTTTCTGTTGCATGTACAAAGTTTTCCTGGTTTTCCAGCTGCAGGTGGGGAAATGGGGGGCGAAAATCGTCTCAG